GGAATGAGAGCACGGAAGGAAGAACTGATAGTGAAATATCAGTAGAACAGCCTAGTGGTACATCAACTGAAAATGCCAGTCAAACTGAAATGGTTGGGGATAATGTGTCTTGTATGAAATCAAATAAGGAGGAAATTGTAGTCAGAAGAAGTAAAAGGTTGAAAGATAGACTACAGGTTTCATATAAATTGTTAAGCAGTTGCTTAATAAACGCGCACAATTTTACTTATAGTATTCCAGTTACATATGCTGAAATTCAGAATAGAAGGGTTCAGGGTATCCCCTATTCGGGAGCTCCCGACTAGAACCTCTTACTTGTTTCCATTAAAAGTGATGAAAATGCCAATCCAATTAGATATAAAACCAGACTAGTAGCTCGAGGATTGACACAGGAGTATCTTATAGACTACGATGAGACATTTGATCCAGTTGCAAGAATATCTAGATTCTATCTTTAGATTCATTTTATCATTTTAGCAATTTAAGCTAAAGGTACACCATATGGATGTGAAAACTGCATTTCTACATGGCATTTTAAAAGTAGAAATCTATATGAGTATTCCAGAAGGTTTATCACATGCCAGTGATAAAGTCTGCAAACTAAATAAGTCAATTTATGGATTGAAGCAGGCATCAGTTAATTTCCTACAAAAACCAGTTAAAGTTTTGTAACAAAAACATAAGAGTAATTTTATTAAATTATTTAAATAAAAAATGGCACATTTTCCTGGCACAAAAGTATTGGCACACATAATTATAAAACCTAAAAATATTATATATGAAACTTAACTAATATTTGGTGGGCAAGCCTTTCTGTTTTATAACAGCCTCTAAACGTTTTGGCATAGAATGAACCAATTTTCTGGTCGTTTCCGCCCCGATATTTTGCCATTCTTCCAATAAAACCGTTTTCAGCTGACTTTTGTTGGAAATTACCCGTTTTTTGACCCTCCTATCCAGTTCCTCCCATAAATGTTCAATTGGGTTTAAATCAGGAGATTGTGGCGGATGTGGCAAAACATGTGCCGTGTTATATGCCAGCCACATTTTAACAACATGGGCCGAATGCTTGGGATCGTTGTCGTGTTGAAAAGTAAAGTTGGATGGTAAGTTTAGGTTTTCGGCGCTTTTTTTGAGGTTTTCCTTTAATATGCCTAAATAAACTGTTTTGTCCATTATCCCATCTATGAATACTAATTCGCCCACGCCGGCAGCAGACATGCAGCCCCATACCATCACTCCCCCGCCGCCATGTTTTACTGTTGCTGCAAGGTTTTTTTTTTCGAAGGCAGTATTTGGCTTGCGCCACACAGTAACTTTGCCATCTGAGCGAAAAATATTAAATTTGCTTTCATCAGAAAATAGTACTTCGTCCCAGAAAACGGATGGCTTAGTTTTATACATATTTGCGTACTCCAAACGTTTAATCTTATTGGCAGAGGAAACAAGTGGCTTACGTCTAGCAACACGTGCACTGTAGTTGGCCTCATGCAGTACCCTTCTGATAGTCATTGGGTGTACCTCTTTTCCAAATTCATTTTTAACCTCAGCAGTTATTTGCGTAGATGTTATTTTTGGGTTCTTTTTAATTTTACGCACTATATCGCTCCGTTCGCGGTCACTTAAAACCCGAGGGCGGCCTTGTCGCGCAGAGTTTTCAAGGCTTTGCGATCCTTTAAAGCGTTGTACAATGCTGCGAATCGTGAAACGACTTCTTTCCATCATTTCAACTATCTCAGCATAAGATTTACCTTGCTTATGCAGATATAAAATTATTTTGCGTTGAGATTCAGTGGTTTCTTTTTGTTTTGGACTCATATTTTTCTTATTGTTTGGTACAAAATGCAAGTTTTAATTCGACAAAAATCTGTGATTTTAAATAACGGTAGGTTGCAACACATGTTCTTGCATAAAAATAAATCGAGCTAAAAACTAAGTGTGCCAATACTTTTGTGCCAAGAAAATGTGCCATTTTTTATTTAAAAAATTTAATAAAATTACTGTTATGTTTTTGTTACAAAACTTTAACTGATTTTTGTAGGAAATTAACTGGCCTATACAGGAAAATTAATTTGCATGGATGTTTGTTACCAAAAACGGACGCAAAATGGTTGCAAAGTAGAAAATGCTTGCTGTGCCAATACTTATGTGTGTGTCTGTATATATGTATATATATATATTTATTAATTGTCTATGGCGAAGAAAACCGAGTATATATACATATATATATATCATTGCGTTAATATATAAACCATAACAAAAAATGTTGTCAAATGTTCTTTGGAAAAATGTATATATTAGAAAATAATTTAATATAGTTGTACAAGACTAAAATTCTTCAGGACTCGTAGGGTTTGCGAGATTTACATTAGGAAACAGTTTGGCCCTGGAAATAACTTTTTGCAGGCGCGTCTTCACATCTTTATCCACAAAAGGTCATTTTAGGTCATTGCCAGCATCGTCGTTCACATTTTATTACACAATTATTTCATGAAAAGCAAAATAGGCATTAGCAGTAGCAGAGCGACGTGGCTTTCCCAAAGGTCGAATGAAGAATTTGTGGCGTACCTGTCTTTTGGCTTCCTCTGGCCAAATGCGCTCCATATTGAAGGGTGCTAGTGTCAGTGATACGCAAGTCGTAGGCCTCAAACGATTCGTCTTTAAACTTGTGTATCAATAAAAACCCAACGCCATCATCTAGCTGTCTCACATCAAAGTAACCTCTAGTATTCATGGGTGTTACGTTTGTTTATCCCCAACCTTCGGATTCAAATGCTCTTCTTGATTAACCGGATTCTCAGCTTGGTAACGGTCATGTTAAAAGTATTTCGAAATCTTGTCCTCAGCGTTCTAAAAAATATACAAATATAAGATGTGTGATAAAAGCACTAACCAAAGAACATATAGACTGGACAATCAGTGGACGGCGATGGAGCATCTTGTTTTCTCTACGGCTGGTACAAAGTCTCTTTCATTTTTGTTCGGGTTCATAAAACGACATCGCTGATTTTTTTTACTCCCTCCCACTGCAGGTAACTGCTTTGGCTTACTCTCAGTGCTCTTTCAATTTGTGTATTTACCGTTGCACTGTCTGTGTGTGTATTTGTCCGCACAAGCAAAAATGCCCAAAAATTCATGCACACTTGCATATTTTGTATATGAATAGAGGAATTTGTGCGCTTTCGTGCCAGTTGGTGGCCTGCCTCGCAAATTTGACAAGATTGGAAGTTTTTTGTGATTCCTGTATTCCATGTGTAGAGCTCGAAGTTCACAAATGCCAAAAACTTCAAATTTTTATAGCCTGAACCCATTAAAAATGGGTATAAGGGTATATTGTATTTGTGCAAAATCCAAATGTATGTAACAGGCAGAAGGAAGCATCTCCGACCCCATAAAGTATATATATTCTTGATCAGCATCAATAGCCGAGTCGATCTAGTCATGTCGGTCTGTCTGTGCATCCGTCCGTCCGTCCGTTTGTCTGTCCGTATGTATGAACGCAAGGATCTCAGCACCTATAAGAGCTAAAGACTTGAAATTTTAGATGTAGTTCCTCTTAGTATCTGCGCAGATCGAGTTTGTTACCGATAATCGATAACTTATTCCATTTCCAAGAAATCTATAAAAATCGATATCGATATCCTGTTTTTTTTGGGAAATTTTGGTAAATAATAAGAGCTAGAGTCACAAACTTAAAATGTAACTTCTAAAATAGAATATATATATACATTTGATGTTGGAAGAAGAGGGTTCAGGGTATCCCCTAGTCGGGAGCTCCCGACTAGAACCTCTTACTTGTGTCAAATTTGCATCGGGCAGGCATGCAACCAACCAACCAACAAACGTATAAATGCTTCCATCCATATAGAAAAGTGTGTAAGTGTGCGTGGTTGGCCAACTTTGAGGTACCCTTACCCTTTCAACCAGGATGGGAAATAGCAATATTGCACATGATCAGGACAAACCCTTTAATAATATCACACAACTGCTTACTCGAAAGAGTGTGGGTGTGCACAAGCAGCAAGTCGCAAAAAGTGAACATTGTAAATTTTTGTACTTTTCTGAAAATTCTTACAAGCCGACGATGAATTACCCTTGCAGAAATACGACTTAAATATTTTTGTATTTTAAGCAAAATAGGTCCCTACATTAAACAGAAAATAATTATAAATATTTCATTTAGGTCAATTAATTGTGTATTAAATAAAATTAGATCAAATTCTTCTCATCATGCCTGACTGGACAAAGAAATATATGATAGAGTATTTAAATGTGTGTGCCTATTGCTACCACAGGCACAAAAGGCACACAATTGAAGAAATAACCTCTGGCTCGCGACTAACGCCGCGATCTACTTATGCGCACATCCACACAACACAAACGTATGAATTTTTGTAGATCTCGGGGTTTTGTGGGAAGCTATGCAGGGAGAAAGAGATGGATGCAAGTGCACGAAGCAATGAGTGAGAGCGAGGCACATGCATACACACATATGTTTTTGGGCTGTAAGGATTTAAAAATGGCATACATATACATATATATTAAGAAACACATCATCAGCCGCAGCGACGTTGTGCGCTGAGCGAGATGCGGCTTCATACTGAACGTTCGGCTTTTGAGGCCGGCATTCGGCTGCCACTCTCAGCAGTCTTACTCTGTCTGGGCACATTAAAATGGTCGCAGGTACCCTTGGGGTCGCCTCGTTTCGATTTTTTTTGTTTCGATAAAAAGGGCCATTTGGTATGTCTATACATTGTATGGTTAGTGCTATTGTGCATTTTAAGTGTAAGAAACTAAAATACCAAAATTACTGTTTTTATATGCAAAAAATTTTTTTTTTTCAATAATTACATTTAAATGTAATTGTAAGTTAAATTGAATATTTTGTAATTGATGTAAGCTATTAAATGTTAGTGTATAATAAATTTCAAAAATAATAATATATATAAAAATTTATATATTAATTATACTTATGTTTTACATTAGTAATGTAATTTGAAGTCTAATTTAAAAAATGTATGAATTGACCACCGTTTATAGATCGGTTTTAACAAGGTCAAATATAACTTCTTAAATCTTACATAATCAATTTTCTCTTATTCAACAGGTAACCATATCATTTTTAATAGGCTTTTGCGTTTGCATGTCCAAGTCTACAAGTTTTCACGTTTCCTATGCGACACACGATGCAATCGTATTTTATGGGTGTTAACAACACAACTGCAATAAATAATGAATTTGTACTTTGGAGGCTAATATATGGTTGCACAAAACTTACAAGTGCGGTTTTCCCCTTTTGTATCCTATTGAAGAATTTAGAATTGTCCGAATAGGTTAACGTTTTAAGGCGCATATCCCTTTCGTAAGTACGCTACTTGTTATCTCTGCTGTGAATAAGTTTGTAATTAAGTTAAAGAAAAAGGGACTTTGGAGTACCTACCAATGATGCTTGCTAGTAGGAAAGCGATCTGTTTATTCATTTGCCGCATTTAAACAGAACCATGGCCACAATTTCTGCAAAGTATACAGAAGATTATTCGTGAGGTTAATTATCTTTTCATAACTTACTCGCATTAATTCGTCTGGACGCCAATGTGAAATTTATTTTGCTGGACGCCCAGACGCATCCATTAAATGATACCACAAATAACTTAAACATTTATTATGTTCGTCGTCACCTTAGGTCGCTGTTGCACTTTGCGTGGCTGTCGTACACAATCCAGCAGAGCTTCTGTAATTCTGCGTGACGGGTCATCTCTAAAGTGCAAGTGAGCAAATCAGTTTTTGTAAATAAGCTTACCCCTGAGCAACTACATCGGGTCACAAATTATATTTTGGACGGCTTTCACAGGAAAGAGTATGTGGTGGCAGCATACCTCGACATCCAAGAAGCCTTCGACCGGGTGTGGCACGCAGGACTCCTCTCCAAGATAAAGGACAAATTGAATCCGCAGCTATTTAGCACCATTGCGAGCTTCCTAACTGAGAGAACCTTTCAAGTGGTGCAGGATGGAGTAGCCTCTCAAACCAAACGCATAAAAGCGGGCGTTCCACAAGGCAGCGTCTTGGGTCCCACGCTATATAGCCTGTTTACACATGACATGCCCACAGCAAATGCAAGCAGACGGAATGATCGGCAGGACCTTCTGGTGGCCACGTTTGCTGACGACACGGCAATCCTTGCAAAAAACAAATGTGTGTGCGTGGCAACTGACCTCTTGCAGGAATACCTCAAGCGATTTGAAAACTGGGCTTGTAGATGGAACATCGCAGTGAACCCTGGAAAATGCGCCACGGTTACCCACACTCTACGCAAGGACTCATGCCCCGGACTTTTTCTTCATGGTGAGCTTCTAGAGCAATATCGTCAACACAAGTACCTAGGTGTCACTCTCGACAGACGACTTACATTTAGTAAGCACGTCTCTGCAGTAACGAGCAACATCAAATCTAAGATAAGGCGAATGAGCTGGCTCCTCAACTCCAAAAACAAACTCTCGCTTCGAAACAAGGTCCTAATCTACAAGGTAATCCTTGCCCCAGTGTGGCGTTACGGGCTTCAAGTTTACGGTATAGCTGCAAAAACACACCTGAACAAAATTCGCATCATTCAGGCCAAAACCCTGCGCAAAATAACTGGAGCCGAATGGTATATTCGCACACGCGACATCGCCAAGGACCTCAAGGTTCCAATGGTGGGCGACGTAGTCAACAGGCAAGCAGCGAGCTACTCAACAAAGCTCCACAACCATCCAAACATCCTGGCGAGGAGCCTGCTAAGGAGGCGAAGAAGAAGGCGACTGAAGAGGACCTACCCAACCGACCTAATCGATCGTTATGTATAGGTGACAAGCTTCGTTAATTACATCAAAATATGTTTCTGTAATCTGTTAACCTAATTGTAAAACTAATTGTAAAACCACAATCATCGCTAAGCTAAGTAATTATGTCACTCTGATAAAAGTTGCTAACATAGAGTAACAGGATACCAGATTTCTTAATAAACAAAATATAATTAGTAAAAAAAAAAAAAGTAAATAAGCTGATTGAGACTTACTTACGGGTATCCCAGCAAAGAAGTGAATCATCTGATCGTAGCGGGTGCTGACATTTTATTCAAGGCGTTTGGTCATATATATTCGTCCTCGTTGTAATTGCTTGGGCATTTCCTATAAAAGAAGCTAAACTTTTATTTTTGTAAAATTATAATAATAATACCATATGAACGTCCCTTGAAGCGCGTGCCAAAATAATGCGCATGTACATCATACTTATGGAATAACTTACCAATGTACATATGTGTTAGAGTACGTATGCTTGTATGCATATGCATGTTTGTAGTTTCTCTCATCTAAATCTATTCACAAGTGCATGTTACTAGCTGGAAAATCCATTTGTTGGATAAAATTTCTGCATATGCATTCTTAACAATAATACATGACGAAGTTAAATTAATGTCTTAGTTAAGAGATTACGGACTTATTTTGAAATCCAAGAACTATCCTGTCTGTGGCGAACCCTGCAAGTATGCCGCATTGAAAGGCGACTTTTATTTTCGGTGTAGTCTGACGCATATTTTTGTAAAAATTTACAAAAAAGTGTAATTTTTTAATTTCTTCGCGGGATCGCGTCGGACTATCAGGAAAATTTGGCTTTTTGTATTTTGCGAACTGATGGGAGTTGAACCCATCACTGAATTTTTAAAAAATGAGCTCTCATTGACATATGAAACAATAGTCAATTAGCGTAATTATTTGCGCGAAGTTTTTCAAGTTTGTGCTGCACAGTTAAGCCTTGGATTGCTTGGATGAGAGAGCAAGGTAGTAGAAACACACGAAAGCCTTGTTTTTAAAAGAAAAAGTAATTGTGGGGGAATTTTTCTAGGCCAATGGGTATTTTGTAATTATGAAAGGGATGCCAAAAGGCTGTACATCGTTCCTGTCGAAAACCGCACCAAAAGCACGCTGCTGTGTATTATAAAAGAAAAGATAGCGGATGGGACAACGATCATTTCGGATAGTTGGTCTTCAACCGATGTGGCAGAGTGAACATTAATTTAGACTGCACATATGAAGATGTAAGCATTTTATCTTTAAGAATAGTCTTCGTAATATTTTAAAATTCATTTTAAAGAAAGTACTTATCAAACAATTTTTTATTCCAGTATAAAGACGAGTTGGAAACTCTCTGTGAAATGCAAATAGCAGAGGCCATAATTTCGGTAAGTTCCCTAAAAAGCTCGCATAGCATTTTAATTAAATTTTCTTCAATTTCAGCATTAACACAAACAAATATTTTCGAATGCGCTGTTGATTTAGATATAATATAATTATAAAATAGTCGTAACATCTTGTTTTTATTCCGATCATCAGTTAAATTAATAAAAGCAAATTGAGGCAATTGTATCCGCTTTTATTTAAATAAACGAAAATATAAGCATGCAAATGAAAATGATGAAATGCCCGTTGATATGTATACATATAGTCAAACCTTATTTGCAAAATAATGTACAAGTGAATTCGTACAAATTATGTATGTGTGATAATCAGTGTAAACTGTGATAGCATACATATATGCGTGCGCATTGTTTTGAAACGCGCATCGAGGATATTATTATATTATTTTCAACAATTGGATAAAGTGCCTGTCGGGTATCCCCAAGCAATCCCATCGAGGGAAAAGATATATGGCTAGACATCTGGGTTCAAATGTCAGCACCCGCCACGATCAGATGATGCACTTCTGCGCTGGGATACCCTGGTAGGTATCAATCATCTTATCTACGAAAACAGATAGTTTTTTCACTTGCAATTTGATTTTTTGCAGATGTCACGCATGTTAGCACGCAAAGGGTAAAATCGACCCAAAGCGACGGCGAGCATAATGAATGTTTGAGATATTTGTGATAACATTTAACAGACGCGTCTGTCCCAGCAAAAGAAATTTTACATTGGTCTCAAACCGCTTGAGTGCGAGATAGTTACTTAACGGCTAAGTTATTAGGATTGATTAAAAATCTATAGATAATATTCATTTGTTTATTTTTAGTAAATATAAATATCTTTATTATGCTGACTGGTGTAAATCTCTGTATTAATAGATCTTTTCATTCGGTTTTAATACATATGCCCTTAGATTAGAGATAACAGAACTTTGCGTTATATTCTAATAAAAACTAATAATTGTTATCCACAGCATTAAAATCAAGGAACGCCCGTATGAATGTGAAGTATGCCTTAACAACGCGAAAACTGGTTGACTTAGACGTGCAGACGCGAAAACCTACTAAAGGTGAAATCATGTTAATCTGTTGTGAATTTAAAAATATACTACATTTAAATTATAATTTGAAGAAAGATACTAATAGAAAGATAGTTATAATCCAGATTTGATTATCCAAAATTTGATGAAATAAAATGGCCTGGTTAATGCCGAATTGTAAACTCTTTTACATATTTTTAAAATGAATCTTAAAATTATATTACTAATGTAAAACATAGGTATATTAATATTTCAATTTTTATATATATTATTATTTTTGAAATGTATTACATAACAACTTTTAATAGCTTGCATTAATTACAAAATATTCAATTTAACTTACAATTACATTTCAGTTTAATTATTGAAAAAAATATTACAAATGCAAACACTAGTTTTGGTATTTTAGTTTCATACACTTAAAATAAACAATAGCTTCCTCCAAATCGAAAATGCAATATTTTTAATGATTTATTATCGATAGTTAGCAGCTCTCATTCGCTCATCTCGAAGCGTTGCCGATAGCTAAAAACTATCGGAAATTCATCATCAAATAGTATCGTTGCTGCACGAAACTTGACAATCGTGCTACCAGCGCTATCGGCAACATTTAAATGCTTAAATTTAATAAAAAAAAAAACTATAAAGTTAAGTTTCGACGCCGGAAATAGAATCTTGAGAAAAAACTACGTGGAATAGACACCACACCCAACTTATTTGAAGTTCACTTTTGTAGAGTAATAAAAACGATGCATTACCCCAAAAATAAATGGCGCCATGCCAATGCAGAATCATCAGGTACAAAACCATTTTTAAAAGATTTGTTGTAACTTACCAGCAGAAGAAAATGTTGGCGTTTTCCAAGTAGCAAAAGCCCAGCACTCAAAGGGACGGCTAAAGCAACATTGGCAGCCTGAGCACTTTCAGCGGCGGAGTTAGACTTTACGAACTCGTAAACTTACTTTATTTTAATTTCACAATGACCAAGATGGGTCGCCATATATATCTGCGTAGTAAGCGTTACCGATACTATTATTTGTTTAGGCGGAAACAATATAAAAGTCCATATGTATATTGTTATATTGTGTTATAGGAGAGCAATCGAGAACTCTAGGAATAATTGACACTTACAAGTTGTTAACTTTTAATAGTAATCTCCGGCCTCAGTAGCGCGACTGAAAATAACTAAAAAAGAGATGCATACATTTTTCTGATTGAATGGCAGTCGAACTATCGATAAAAAAAACTAATGGAATGCTCTCGATGGGGAAGCTATCGGAAAATAAACCTTGTATGGTAATCATTTCGTAAGTTAGTCAGGACAAACTATTTCACATCTAGGTCTTGCCATTTATTCTAACCTCTGTCCACTAAACACATTTCTGAAAATGTCACATTTTTGAAAAAATGTCACATATTTGAAAAATGTGTAAAAATGTCACATTTTTGAAAAAGGTGTATTTTTGCCCCGAAAATTTCGTGTTTTTTGCGATGATTAATCGAGATTTCTATCGATGTTGGGAAAAATGTGAAAGTATCAAACGCAAAAACAGCTGATATATCAACGAGTGCAAGCAGCATCTTTAAAAAAAAAATTTAAATGGTACTAATCCCACAACAAATTTAGAATCTAAACATGACGAAATGTCGTAAAGAATATGTAAAATACAGCCCTTACTTCGAGGTCGCATTATGTTACCGACAACCAATGGGACACCAATATGTGAAATTTGAAAATGTGACATTTCTTAAGCCACTGGGCAGAGGCTATAACAAGAGTTTCTCAGTCGATACTATATATTCCGTGCCAAATTGACAGTTGCACCAACTAAAGAAACCAAGAAATATTTTCCAAGTGTTGTTTTAATAAGAAGATCTAAAGGGCTGCTGCTGCCTAGTGATGGTGTGAATTTAATGACTGTCCAGGCCTAAAGCTGCTCACGTGTCTACGTGCCCAGTCCACGCTTTAACCGTTGCTTCAAGTAATTTTTAATCATATATGTAAATACCTGCTGACGTCTATCCGGTCCTGACCAGCTACCTACGAGGCAAATCTGCGTGTACATTTACACTTACCCATCAATACGCTCTATGCTAAACAATGAAATCCAGCTGGCTGCCAGTATCTCCGCTTGTTAGTTGACTTTATACAGTCCACAGTAAATCTTTGTCATAGCTAGATGTATGTGTTTTGGATTCTGTCATTGTCAAAGTAACTAGCTCTTACCGGTCACTATTCCGCACTCTTGCCATATGACACAGTTGACCTCTCCATTTGTCAGCATTTATCCAACCTGATGGCTTATTATATGTAATATTAATGCTGTCGTCGCAATCCGGCTCTACATATTTTATGTATAACGCTACCAAAATTTACTTAATAATGTCTGACTTTACAAACTTACCTTGCCTACCAAATTTGTTTGAAAATCATTCGCGTCACGCTTTCTTGACAGCGGTAAGCAACAATTCTTTGTTTGGCAGTAGTTTTTTTTTGTACCACCATTAAAGTTACCGGCCAGGGTATTAAATTGTGGTTCTCAAACACAAACTCCAATAAAACTAAAAAATAAAAATATATTAGGAAATAACAAGAATTGTATAAATATGGCTTAATTCCTGATACTTTTTTTTTTGTTGATGTGTCTTGGCGCCTTTGCTTTGTCGGACCTCCATAAACTGTAGCATTGTTGAGTCTCTGCTCTGATATAAAAAGAATGACAAGTCCAACCTAAAATAGTTAGAGACATATGAAATTTAATTGAGAATTACGTAAACTTATCTAATTTTATTTTAATTTCAAAATAGAATAGAGATATGGTAAAATTGTAACTGTATATTAGCATTTACCCAACAATGATATTAATGAATAAAAAACTTGCAGTGTGGCAGTAAGAAGCTAAAATAAGAGATGCGCAAAACGGTATCGATTCATGGATACTTTAAACGCACAGATCTGATTTTCAATTAAGAAGTAAATCTGATTTTTTTATATTCGATTAAATGTATTTTGAGAAGAATAAAAATACAAACATTAACTTGTTTAAGGACAAGGTGAATATCTCTAACTAGATGGTTATTAAACTATCGATAGGCTGATTCGTAAGAGAATGGATAGGGTACAATCGAACGCGACTAACATCGGTCATACTCGATTTGATATTATTTTGTTTAAGACTCGTCATTCACGAATATTAGCTTGCAACATTTTGATACTGCAAAGTACGCAGATATTAAAAAATAAAATGATTGGGTGCCTATATTTAGCCGATATACATATTTAAAAAGTACTTGCTAAAGTATTATCGGGTATGGAGCGATACAAATAATGTGACTAAAATTAGGTCTGAGTGAAATGCGTTAACATTTACAAGGCTCTTGGAGTTGTTATATAGGGCACAGCATGCCCATTCAAATTTCATTTACTTTGTTCACTTATCTGGCTTAAAGTTTAAAATCCTACTTTATTTGCTAAAGTTCAACAAATAGTATTTCACACAACTTTTCTTTTGACTATGTGTTAAAAGTGCGCTTTAACGTTTTTGGTCTTCTGCTGGCAAGAAGATCGAGGGACTCAAAGTTTAACAATCCACTAAAAGCAAGCGCGACCCAAATTCGCATTGATTTCATTTGGGGGAAAAAAACTGCGAAAAAAACAACACAAAAACCGCTTTTGCATCAATACAAATGCTCACTTAGCTTCAGAGAAAGAAGTGGGAGATATGCCACAAAAAACAGCACGACTGTATTTTGAAGATGATTTTTCCTAAAGTTAGCTGCGCGTTGACTGTTGTGCTGAGGCATACTTTTGCTTTTATATATACATATGAGGAACATGTAGTACACAAAACAAATGAAGCTGTCTTTAAAGTCATTATTATTATTATTTTGTTCAATAATACATATTTACAATGCTTCACAGTTCAAAAGATTTTGCACTGTTTGTTTATAGGTATAGTAAATTAGTTTAGGCCACAATAAAGTACACTTTGTGGATTTTTGGATTATGCATTAATATGTAGGTGTTCTCTTATATAAATGATGACTATATTAAATTTTTTTCAGGCACGTAACAAGTATAATTTCATAGCATTTTAATGTGAAATCAAGATACTCTAAACATCGGACTATCGTAATAAACGTTCGAATTGTAACATCTTGTTTTTATTCCGATCATCAGTTAAATTAATAAAAGCAAATTGAGGCAATTGTATCCGCTTTTATTTAAATAAACGAAAATATAAGCATGCAAATGAAAATGATGAAATGCCCGTTGATATGTATACATATAGTCAAACCTTATTTGCAAAATAATGTACAAGTGAATTCGTACAAATTATGTATGTGTGATAATCAGTGTAAACTGTGATAGCATACATATATGCGTGCGCATTGTTTTGAAACGCGCATCGAGGATATTATTATATTATTTTCAACAATTGGATAAAGTGCCTGTCGGGTATCCCCAAGCAATCCCATCGAGGGAAAAGATATATGGCTAGACATCTGGGTTCAAATGTCAGCACCCGCCACGATCAGATGATGCACTTCTGCGCTGGGATACCCTGGTAGGTATCAATCATCTTATCTACGAAAACAGATAGTTTTTTCACTTGCAATTTGATTTTTTGCAGATGTCACGCATGTTAGCACGCAAAGGGTAAAATCGACCCAAAGCGACGGCGAGCATAATGAATGTTTGAGATATTTGTGATAACATTTAACAGACGCGTCTGTCCCAGCAAAAGAAATTTTACATTGGTCTCAAACCGCTTGAGTGCGAGATAGTTACTTAACGGCTAAGTTATTAGGATTGATTAAAAATCTATAGATAATATTCATTTGTTTATTTTTAGTAAATATAAATATCTTTATTATGCTGACTGGTGTAAATCTCTGTATTAATAGATCTTTTCATTCGGTTTTAATACATATGCCCTTAGATTAGAGATAACAGAACTTTGCGTTATATTCTAATAAAAACTAATAATTGTTATCCACAGCATTAAAATCAAGGAACGCCCGTATGAATGTGAAGTATGCCTTAACAACGCGAAAACTGGTTGACTTAGACGTGCAGACGCGAAAACCTACTAAAGGTGAAATCATGTTAATCTGTTGTGAATTTAAAAATATACTACATTTAAATTATAATTTGAAGAAAGATACTAATAGAAAGATAGTTATAATCCAGATTTGATTATCCAAAATTTGATGAAATAAAATGGCCTGGTTAATGCCGAATTGTAAACTCTTTTACATATTTTTAAAATGAATCTTAAAATTATATTACTAATGTAAAACATAGGTATATTAATATTTCAATTTTTATATATATTATTATTTTTGAAATGTATTACATAACAACTTTTAATAGCTTGCATTAATTACAAAATATTCAATTTAACTTACAATTACATTTCAGTTTAATTATTGAAAAAAATATTACAAATGCAAACACTAGTTTTGGTATTTTAGTTTCATACACTTAAAATAAACAATAGCTTCCTCCAAATCGAAAATGCAATATTTTTAATGATTTATTATCGATAGTTAGCAGCTCTCATTCGCTCATCTCGAAGCGTTGCCGATAGCTAAAAACTATCGGAAATTCATCATCAAATAGTATCGTTGCTGCACGAAACTTGACAATCGTGCTACCAGCGCTATCGGCAACATTTAAATGCTTAAATTTAATAAAAAAAAAAACTATAAAGTTAAGTTTCGACGCCGGAAATAGAATCTTGAGAAAAAACTACGTGGAATAGACACCACACCCAACTTATTTGAAGTTCACTTTTGTAGAGTAATAAAAACGATGCATTACCCCAAAAATAAATGGCGCCATGCCAATGCAGAATCATCAGGTACAAAACCATTTTTAAAAGATTTGTTGTAACTTACCAGCAGAAGAAAATGTTGGCGTTTTCCAAGTAGCAAAAGCCCAGCACTCAAAGGGACGGCTAAAGCAACATTGGCAGCCTGAGCACTTTCAGCGGCGGAGTTAGACTTTACGAACTCGTAAACTTACTTTATTTTAATTTCACAATGACCAAGATGGGTCGCCATATATATCTGCGTAGTAAGCGTTACCGATACTATTATTTGTTTAGGCGGAAACAATATAAAAGTCCATATGTATATTGTTATATTGTGTTATAGGAGAGCAATCGAGAACTCTAGGAATAATTGACACTTACAAGTTGTTAACTTTTAATAGTAATCTCCGGCCTCAGTAGCGCGACTGAAAATAACTAAAAAAGAGATGCATACATTTTTCTGATTGAATGGCAGTCGAACTATCGATAAAAAAAACTAATGGAATGCTCTCGATGGGGAAGCTATCGGAAAATAAACCTTGTATGGTAATCATTTCGTAAGTTAGTCAGGACAAACTATTTCACATCTAGGTCTTGCCATTTATTCTAACCTCTGTCCACTAAACACATTTCTGAAAATGTCACATTTTTGAAAAAATGTCACATATTTGAAAAATGTGTAAAAATGTCACATTTTTGAAAAAGGTGTATTTTTGCCCCGAAAATTTCGTGTTTTTTGCGATGATTAATCGAGATTTCTATCGATGTTGGGAAAAATGTGAAAGTATCAAACGCAAAAACAGCTGATATATCAACGAGTGCAAGCAGCATCTTAAAAAAAAAAATTTAAATGGTACTAATCCCACAACAAATTTAGAATCTAAACATGACGAAATGTCGTAAAGAATATGTAAAATACAGCCCTTACTTCGAGGTCGCATTATGTTACCGACAACCAATGGGACACCAATATGTGAAATTTGAAAATGTGACATTTCTTAAGCCACTGGGCAGAGGCTATAACAAGAGTTTCTCAGTCGATACTATATATTCCGTGCCAAATTGACAGTTGCACCAACTAAAGAAACCAAGAAATATTTTCCAAGTGTTGTTTTAATAAGAAGATCTAAAGGGCTGCTGCTGCCTAGTGATGGTGTGAATTTAATGACTGTCCAGGCCTAAAGCTGCTCACGTGTCTACGTGCCCAGTCCACGCTTTAACCGTTGCTTCAAGTAATTTTTAATCATATATGTAAATACCTGCTGACGTCTATCCGGTCCTGACCAGCTACCTACGAGGCAAATCTGCGTGTACATTTACACTTACCCATCAATACGCTCTATGCTAAACAATGAAATCCAGCTGGCTGCCAGTATCTCCGCTTGTTAGTTGACTTTATACAGTCCACAGTAAATCTTTGTCATAGCTAGATGTATGTGTTTTGGATTCTGTCATTGTCAAAGTAACTAGCTCTTACCGGTCACTATTCCGCACTCTTGCCATATGACACAGTTGACCTCTCCATTTGTCAGCATTTATCCAACCTGATGGCTTATTATATGTAATATTAATGCTGTCGTCGCAATCCGGCTCTACATATTTTATGTATAACGCTACCAAAATTTACTTAATAATGTCTGACTTTACAAACTTACCTTGCCTACCAAATTTGTTTGAAAATCATTCGCGTCACGCTTTCTTGACAGCGGTAAGCAACAATTCTTTGTTTGGCAGTAGTTTTTTTTTGTACCACCATTAAAGTTACCGGCCAGGGTATTAAATTGTGGTTCTCAAACACAAACTCCAATAAAACTAAAAAATAAAAATATATTAGGAAATAACAAGAATTGTATGAATATGGCTTAATTCCTGATACTTTTTTTTTTGTTGATGTGTCTTGGCGCCTTTGCTTTGTCGGACCTCCATAAACTGTAGCATTGTTGAGTCTCTGCTCTGATATAAAAAGAATGACAAGTCCAACCTAAAATAGTTAGAGACATATGAAATTTAATTGAGAATTACGTAAACTTATCTAATTTTATTTTAATTTCAAAATAGAATAGAGATATGGTAAAATTGTAACTGTATATTAGCATTTACCCAACAATGATATTAATGAATAAAAAACTTGCAGTGTGGCAGTAAGAAGCTAAAATAAGAGATGCGCAAAACGGTATCGATTCATGGATACTTTAAACGCACAGATCTGATTTTCAATTAAGAAGTAAATCTGATTTTTTTATATTCGATTAAATGTATTTTGAGAAGAATAAAAATACAAACATTAACTTGTTTAAGGACAAGGTGAATATCTCTAACTAGATGGTTATTAAACTATCGATAGGCTGATTCGTAAGAGAATGGATAGGGTACAATCGAACGCGACTAACATCGGTCATACTCGATTTGATATTATTTTGTTTAAGACTCGTCATTCACGAATATTAGCTTGCAACATTTTGATACTGCAAAGTACGCAGATATTAAAAAATAAAATGATTGGGTGCCTATATTTAGCCGATATACATATTTAAAAAGTACTTGCTAAAGTATTATCGGGTATGGAGCGATACAAATAATGTGACTAAAATTAGGTCTGAGTGAAATGCGTTAACATTTACAAGGCTCTTGGAGTTGTTATATAGGGCACAGCATGCCCATTCAAATTTCATTTACTTTGTTCACTTATCTGGCTTAAAGTTTAAAATCCTACTTTATTTGCTAAAGTTCAACAAATAGTATTTCACACAACTTTTCTTTTGACTATGTGTTAAAAGTGCGCTTTAACGTTTTTGGTCTTCTGCTGGCAAGAAGATCGAGGGACTCAAAGTTTAACAATCCACTAAAAGCAAGCGCGACCCAAATTCGCATTGATTTCATTTGGGGGAAAAAAACTGCGAAAAAAACAACACAAAAACCGCTTTTGCATCAATACAAATGCTCACTTAGCTTCAGAGAAAGAAGTGGGAGATATGCCACAAAAAACAGCACGACTGTATTTTGAAGATGATTTTTCCTAAAGTTAGCTGCGCGTTGACTGTTGTGCTGAGGCATACTTTTGCTTTTATATATACATATGAGGAACATGTAGTACACAAAACAAATGAAGCTGTCTTTAAAGTCATTATTATTATTATTTTGTTCAATAATACATATTTACAATGCTTCACAGTTCAAAAGATTTTGCACTGTTTGTTTATAGGTATAGTAAATTAGTTTAGGCCACAATAAAGTACACTTTGTGGATTTTTGGATTATGCATTAATATGTAGGTGTTCTCTTATATAAATGATGACTATATTAAATTTTTTTCAGGCACGTAACAAGTATAATTTCATAGCATTTTAATGTGAAATCAAGATACTCTAAACATCGGACTATCGTAATAAACGTTCGAATTGTCTCCTTATAGACCAAAACGAAAATAGACATTCACGTACACTCAAATACACGCGTTTGCTAAGCTACCCTTTTATATAATTTTGATAGTAATAGGGGGGTATAAAGATATTGAATTATAGATTCAATTGTTCCCTCGTATTCATTAATTTTTTATTATATACATTTTTTTATATAATAAATAGCGTAATATGTATTCTAAACTTTTTACAACAATCTGTTCTTTCTTTATTTGATTTTTTGAGTTCGAGATTCTTATATAATTATTATTTTTTTTCCAGATATTTAAGCACATTAAAGTTGGCAAATATTTGAGCTGTTTGCATTCACAAATTGTAAATTCAATAATTGGTTCCAGCATATAGATATAGACAGGTGTGCATAAGTATACATATTTATACCCTGAACCCGTTAAAAATTGGAAGAAAGCATCTTAAACCTGTTGAAGTATAAATGTTCTTACTGTTTAGCTCTGTTTTTTTTTTTTAATTTTTTTTATTTGCTTACCAAATGCTTAGATAAAAACTATAGATAAAATGTAGCTTTACACAGCCACAAAATTTGTATACGTATGTTAGAACACAAACTTTTATATCCATACCATTTTTATAAAACAAACTTTAATGGTTATATTATTCATATATTTTTATATAAATATTTTGTCCATGGATTTCATAATTTAATTTCTCACAGTTTTAAAACAGGTTTAAGCTTAAAATTTTTAAATTGTTCTTCTGAAAAATTTAATCTAACAAAGGGTTTCATTTGTTTGTTAAAAGAGCTATCTTGGATGGCGTCCATGATACAGCGAAGATAAGAGCTGCTCATATTGTACTTTCTTCAAACATTCCAACAATTACTACGGGGCTGTTATATCACCAGCAATATTTACTCAGTTGCAACTGTGAGTATACAAAAATAACAATAAAAGCATTATTAATTCATCAAGAGTTTTCTCAATTCAGATATAAGTATGATCCATATTGTAATAGATTTCTGTTAATATTAGTATCAGAATATCCATCAATAGCTTCAAAACTACCTAACTGGGCCTATATGTATCAAGAAATCAACATTCATTAACTGGAGATTTGCAATTATATCAACTGATGGTCGACTACTTATTGCATCATACATATACATATATAGCAGACGGAATCAAATCATTAAAAATGTATTACTGTCAAAATACAACTACCTACGATATTCAATAACAATAAAAAATTGAGATCCGCCAAAACAAAACCAAATCAGATGCATCGTTTGCGTGAAAAGCTTCAATGTTCAAGTGAAAATGCTACAGAAAGCTCGCCGGCATGGTCGTTCTGCGGGCGGTGCTGCGGAGAGAGACTACAGCTACGGCAAGAGCAGCAGCAGCCTGGCATCGTAGCTTTTTATCGCTCGTGCATGGATTCAGTATCTGATTTGTCGTCGTATCGTTTTGTCTCCGATGAAGAGGAAGCCAATGATAATGCTGTTGATGCTAATGATGACGTTAGTGTTGGCTAGCTGTCTCTGCCGTGTGTAGAAATAGAACAACAGAAGTCAAAAACATCAACTATAGCACAATACACAAAAACATCGGCAACGAATAAGGCCTCAAAAGTTGTGGTGCCTCGCGCGTCAGCATTTTCTCTACGGCATGATATTCGTAGTGTGTTACCAATACAAAGTTATTCAGCCGCAGACACAGGAGCAGCAGTTATTAAATGACTCTACATCTTGTAGAAAAATTTATGCTACAATTGGGCATTGTCCTAATGACTCGTGCCGCCTTAGCAGGGACTGTTTAAGATCTTATTTACGTTGTGGTCGTCGGAATCCTCCACCAGTGCAGCCCAAACTCAAATCTTGCCCTCGAATTTGCTTTGCAGTGGCCGCTTGCAGTAGCATCCATATCGGATGCCTGCACCAAAAATACGCCGATTGGAAAAGTGTCAAAAGCATCGACATGTCCACCCATTGAGTTGTGTGCCGCTTAAAAAGCCATTGGTGTTGACAAATACTTATTCTCTAAGACGTAGACTCAGAAGCTGCTCAGATTTAAAATACATTTACTCTAACGCTAACAGCTGCACGCAAGTGACAGCTGAAAATAGCTCTGACTCAACGTCGCGTAAGAAATTGCAGTGGAAATCAACCTGCATACTACGCTACGATCGTAACGAACATCATAAAATAAACTTTAATCAAAAGAGCAACTCAAAACATAAACGGAGGCTTAAAACAGCAGGGGGAACAGGAAATTTATCAACAAGCTACGACAGTAAATAGGGACGAAACAAGTGAATATCTCAATATAACACGGCTGTTTAAAAATGAAAAAAGTAGCTATATTGATTCCTATAAAAAGGTAAAGTCGAATGAGCTGGATTCACTGAAATCATATAGAACCGAAGCTAAATTAAAAATATCTGACGAGAGTGCTGTCCATATACATAGATTTACCAGGTGAACCAATTTCAAATCGTAGCGAAAATTCATTGTTTTTTCATAATTATGAAAAGAGCTGTTCCCAATCGAACATTTCCTCTAATATTTCGTTGAATTTAACCTGCGCTAACATATCGGTGGATAATTTAGGATTTACCAGCTGTTGCAAAGTGAAAAACTCAATACCTCCACGTACTCATACTTTTGCCAGTTCTTATCAGTTTTCTACAATTGGGCTAAACTGCGACAAAGATGTAAGTATTGACACTCAGCAAACAAATTAGCTTATGTTCGAAAATGTTGCTAATACTTACATATTAAAATATGTACGAAAAATAAGAGCTTTAAGTACCGGTTTTTAAGAGCGAATTTTTTTATTAACATTTATTATGTGTGTGAATGTATCTGATTCATTGTATCAGTCAACTTGATTAGCTTACCATTGATAAGTCTTTCGGACCCTTTAATAGGGGCATAAAACTGCATATTTCCCTAGTAATTGTTCGTTCGACCGCCTAAACAAATTTTTTTTTAAAAAAGCTCTGTAATATTTTTCATGAGCAGAGAATCATTTACAATATGATTGGGTTTTACTGAATTCAGCTGATTTCCACTCATATGTGTACAGAAATTTGTTCATGCAAACGGAAACACAGCACATGGGGGATGCAAGATTGTAAATTTGACTACGTACTTGTATTTACTTACAGACATTATTATGAATACAAAAGTATATAGTTGTGATATTTGTTCCACAATTTGTTTGAGATATTCTTGTTCTCTGTGGTGCTCTATGCTGTGATTTGTGTAAGATTCTTTTAATATGTTCACGGGTACATACATATAAAAACATATTTACAATTTTAGCTGCTCTTTACGCTCGCTCTCTTCTGTATTCAATATAAATTCTTGTTTATACTAAAAATATCACTGTGTGCGTATGTAGTGAGTTTTTTTCATTGTACACATATATTTATATGTATGTATATTTAAGACCATAGCATTTTGCTTTGCCTTACAATGTACTTTATGCACCCCTTTGTACTGCAAAATATAGATGTTAAGGTAATATAGATCTCATTTTGTTCGAAAATCAACTACAACTATTCTTTGCCGATTTTATTAGTCAGTCAAAGATTTTTTGTATCTTTTGCTGGCAAATTCTGTTATGTACTTAATGTATGATGCAAAAATTACGAATTAGTTTCTTGGGCTGGAAGTTATCTTTAAGATGTTCCGCTTCAGTGTAAACTGTGTTTAAATTTAAGTTGAACACTCATTAAACAAAATTCTATTGTTGAATCCTTTGTTTTCAGCATACGATGGATAAACGACGTAACACCTTGGACCGATTTCAACGCCTAGCTTTTGGACGTAAATCTAAGCCTTCAGTTTCCTCTGAAGCTGTCTCTAATGAAGGTTGTAGGTCATTTGGTCCAGATAAACAATCTGGTTCAGATAGACAGTGTAATATTTCCGAAAGATCAGAGCGCCTTAAAGAACTGACAGAGCTTTTGCGTGGTGGCAGCATTTCACGTGCCTCTTCTACGCCAACACCCCCACCAGTACCACCGCCCCGCAAGCCTAGAATTCCTCATAATAATTCGACGACTAGCAGTATCGAAACTCATGAATGTAAGTTATCAACATGTGGCCTAGAAGATTCGGATTCAGGGATGACTACTGAATCACTAAAGCAGATCAACACAAATAGCAACAAGAGTGGCAGCGGGAGTATTAGCGTGCCCGCTACAGCCGCACGTATCTTACACTCAATTAGACCAAACACAAGTCTCTCCAACTTGGAAGCTTTCATGATGTGCACTCGCGAGAAGTCTAAATCACCGCCACCCCTTGCAGTAGGTGATGAGGTCGAGTCAACCAGTAGCGAGTGGGCTTCACAGCTGGCCATACCAGAATCACGCACTGCAAGCAGCACTAGCACCCAAAAAGGGATATTACCATTCCGCTCTGTTTCGTTTTCACAAATTGACTGTAAATCAACTTTGAGTGCTTTGCGCGATCGACTACGGCGGGATAAGGCAATTGAAACACCCACTCCGATTCAAAACAACACCAAAACCATCGAATCTACGGAATTGCTGTGCGATCGATTGCGTATTCCGGAACCTGGACTGGTGCACATACCACTCAGGAACACGGGCTTATCTGTTAACTTAAACTATGGGCAGGAGAAATCTCTTGAACATGTTCTAGAAGATATGCCTGATATCATAGGTGAAGAAGATATATTTAATACAGACAATTGCAGTATAGCTGGTGCTTTACCAGCAACTGCTAGCAGTGTTATTGCGGCTCACGCAAAAATGGAGTCGCTTTCGGATACTATACCCTCGGAAGGAGACTATAATATTAACAAGGATTGTGCGATGGTGACAGTAAATAGGAATTTCACGCCTAATATAGAGGAACCCACAGTTGACTCGGAAGTTAGTTCACCCAACATAGGCAAACTTCTAGAGGAACAGTCTCTGATTGAGTCGCCATCCGACAATATTTTACAAACAGCAACCACTTGCCTTATACCTGTCCCGGTTTATGAATGTGCAGCGCAAGAATGGCTTGAAACACCCGCTCAAGAATGGGTTGAGTTAGCACCAGAGTTTGATATTGTGCCCGAAATAATACAGCCACCTATCTCACATGCGGCATGCAAAATAATGCAAACAGAAACATTAACAACTCTACCCAGAAATTTATTGCCAACAATATCTGTGAGTCGGAGCTCAGAAGAGGGTGATGAATGTGGAAAAGATATAATCTTACCCCACCCTGAATTAATGTCCGATCGACCTAATACTTGCGATTCAGTGGAAAATCAGTTTCAACAGTGTAGCCAAGAAGACCTTGTTTTGGAGCGGCAGAGTTCAGACACAATAGCTACACCTCGACACAGCATTGGTGAGCGTCAAAAGCGTTACTTAGACAAATCCACAAAACGGAAGGGCATGTACATAGATAATTCAGACTGGCATCAGCCAGTTGCATTAGATATCTCTGTTGCCAATTTTCAGGCCAATAAGCCAGATTCCACAGATGATACACAGATGTACACCAATAGTCCAATAATGTTTGAAATGAATACACCAGAATTGGAGAAGGCACCACCTACATGGAGAAGATCAAATGAAAAGTCTCAACTGCTAAGCAGCTTTAGCTGCCAAAGTAGCGAAGAGAAGGAAGACGCAACCAACAATAATACCAGCAAAAGCAACAGCATCCCGCAAAATGATTCGATGTCAGACACTGAAGAGCGTGTTAGTTGGAGTCCAACTCCCAGCGGAGATTATGAAAATAAACGCTACTCAAAGCGCCCTCTCACTGTACGAGGTCCATATGGGCAAATGTTAGAAGCCGAGCTTAAAAAGCAAAATCGATTGCATTTTGATGAGATTCTTGATGAAATACGCGACGCTGACAGGTAAGTTGCGGCATGTGTCATTTTTTTTAAAATAAAACCGATTTTGCCTTAGACTGCACCCGCGTCCTGAGCATAGCATCGTTGAGAGAAAGCCTTTAGTTGGCTCCATACGTAGCAACATGCCACAGTATTCTAACTCCATGCGTGTACGTAAGTCAAGTGCTTACTTGCCAGTACCAACGCATGCACGCGCAGCTTCGACTCCTTCGCAAATTGAGCATGTAAATAAGCCAATTTCGTTGTCTGCCAAGGATCTTAACGAGACGATATTAGAAGCTGATAAGCCGCCGCAAAATCTTATAAAACGTGCCGCGTCCGAGACACCTACTCCAAAAATGCATCATAGCAAGCGCAATAATTATGAAAACAAAAATCAACATCACCATAATCATCACCATCACTCTACCAAGCGCAATGTTGAAGACAACAGTAGTAGCAGCAACAAGCCTAAAGTTTCTTATGCTGCGGACGCACCACCAACAGCAGCTTTGCTGGCGGAACTGCTTAAGGGCTCCAGCGAAAACATGCTCTCCGAGCAGCGTCAGAAAATGATTTCGGTAAGTAACGTCATCCATGTACCTATTGTGTATATTTTACTAAAATTAGGGCAACGTAAATTGCAACGGTGTTGGGATAAAATGTACTAAATTTATTACTTGGTATACCGCTCATCGATCTCCATCTCTGAAGTTCTTGTTTTTAATAATCCCAAAATGTGTTAGTCATTAGATATATATATATATATATATATATATGTATATGTATATATATATATATATATACATATATATTTATAATTTATATATAACCTGACGCTCATGCTCATGTGTATATATTTGTATATGCATAAGCGCCAGCTTTTATAAATATTAAGGCATGAGCGCCAGCTTTTGTATTGTTTGCAGAGTATTTGTGGAAAAATAATTGGAAAATGAAAATGCGAGTGTGCGCATGCTCCAACAATCAATGCGCATTGGAAATGTGTCACTGTGTTAGAAGAGAGCCTCTGAAGCTTATTTCATCTCTTTGTTCGTCACATGCACCGTGGTCAAAGCTAAAGCTTTTTTGGTTTTTTTTCTTAAGAGACTCTCATAGTGATTAGCTGTTCAAAGAACAAAAACTCAAATATTTATAATAACTTTAAGAGAATCAGTATTTAGTCATGTCTAATTGTACCTAGCGTCTAAAAACATCAGTTGGTAAAAAATTTAAAAACTCGTACGATTCTTTTTAACATTTGATAAGTTCTTGATGGAAATATGCCACAGTTCGGTCATTTGTGGTTAATATTTTGAGCATTAACGAGATGAGTGTTTATATATACCTAGTTGTCTGCAAAATATGATCAAAGTAAAGTTTTTCCTAAATATGTTATTCAAAATGATTTTAATTATGCGATTGGGCAGAATATTCCTTGATCAATTAATATTTTTGCACTAATGAAAAAGCGTGTTTTATGCCCATATACCCTTTCTCTGACACTTGTCGCGTGCAGGCCGTAAATTTCGTATTCCAATTTTATCGTAAGCATTAGCCTTGCTGGGGTGGCTGTTTTCAGTTGGAATATGAAAAATGGAATTTAAGTGTGTATGTGGCACAATGGAATGCTTTTCAACGTGTTGAGTAGTACACTCCTGTGCAGCTAGTTGTATGCGCCATCAACAATATGAGTATTAAACCGCATCGCACACTCGCATATTCACACACTACACACACATTTATTATCGATGCTCTCCCGCGCAGCAACAGAATCTTCTCCGCCAACGCTGCTGCGCGCGTTTAAATTCCTCGTTTGCTTTTTGTACCTCAGTTGTATAGCGAAATTTTTCGTGTTTCGTTTGTTTTATTTTGTGGTGTTGTGGAAAATAGATAAATCTAAACAGTCACTCGAAAAATTCGACAACAATAACAATAAATCAATTAAAATACGTTAAAATTCTCGAAGTTATAGATATCAATAGTTTTAAAATAAATAATAGAATGATAATTTTTTAAAAAATACCCTTATTTTACACAAGCGAACATATATCAAATTTTTGGGTAAATGAATGTACACGCATGTAAACATGTACGGATGAATGCATATTATTTCAATGCAATCCTCGTTAATGCACTACACCAAAAGAATAGGGCAGCAACTGAAAAAGAAAAACAAATAGACAAAAAAATAGATATGTATACAAAAGTCTGTATCTAACTACATACATATGTACATATGTATACACAAAACCATTTAGTCTACCAAAACCAACCTCTTGTTGCGCCGCGCAACTCGAAAAATTGTAATTGTGTTGGGTTGTATCGCATGTGCACTGGGAAATCACGCTTAATGCTTTGATTTGGAAGACAAAGCGCAATTAAAAGAAATTTTTAGATAAATGATGTAGAACTACACATGCCGTAACCCCAATTTGTTTCTTAAACAATTTTTTGAATTTGATTATTATTATTATTTATTATATATATATATATATATATACAACCATGTATGGTATGTATACCATATACATATACATACATACGTACATGGATTCAATTGAAAGTTTATATATTCAAATATATATCTGCCTGCATATATATATAGTATAGTACTACTATATACTATAACCATATATAGTTGTTATGCACAGTTTCCTATATATATAAATGTATGTGTATATAGGCATGTAAGTTCACATCCATTAAAAGCAGTTGTTTTTTTGTGGTACTTCTGAGTGAAAAAAACACACTAACAACTTGTTTTGGCTAGAAAAGAAACAAAGAGAATAATTTATACGTCGCTGCTACAACTTAATAAAAAAAAACTCCACGAACTATATATATATGCTTGTGGGTTGTAGCTGTTCTCCCACTCGCCGTCTACGCAGACTTATCCATGAGCCTCAGCACATCTGCTCTTCCTGCTCCTCCAGTATTACGATGCCAATGCGTTTCTTGTTTTGGAGCACTTTTGGACCTATAACATGTTTTGCGATTTTAGTTACCTGCCTTTAATAAATGGACGAACACGCGGCTATAGTTTGTTCCACCAAATCTAGAACATTTTATATGAAAAGTTGAGACAATAAATTATTCCCTGATAGACATTCAGAATACTTAATGCTGTTATCGACAGAAAATATAAATAATCAGTGTCAACTTAATACAAAATAAAAATATATCGATTTAACAAATCACAATTTAAATTAACAATGTCGCACAACCGCGAAAATCTACGATTAAGTTTGTTGGATTTACAAGCTACCTTAACTGCACCTTCGAATACCATTGCTGCTTCTCTGTTGCCACAAACAGAAGGTCATGTTATACAGCCGCTTGCGACAGCGTCGACACTGCCGGCTAACAGCAGCAGTGTATCACAAGCTGTCTCTCAGGCTACAACCACGGTTGCTCGGCTGAGTAAGGCAGGTTTTGGTACAGCGGGTCATCAAAATGACAAATGTGATAGGCTAAAGAAAATGACTTCCATCACTTGCTCCGATTCTGAGGATGACTCGGAAAGGCGAGCACAGTTTGAAATGAGCAGCAAATGGAATCTGGGCGGTTATGATGGCGTAAGTGTGGTAGTAGTGATGAACATTTAATAACACTTTGTAGGACTAAATATGATTTGATTCTAAAGCTTTGTATTCTCTCATTTATAGGACACTCGCACCTACGTTGTACAAGAGATTTATCGGAATGAGCAATCATATGTGGAATCTCTGCAAACAGTTGTGCTTAAATATTTGAAAGTGTTGAAATCACCAGAACATGCAGGCATGATTGATACACGTACCGTGGATGAGATATTCTTTATGGTACCTGACATACTGGAAATACATGAGAAATTTTTGGCTGAGTTAAAACAACGCCTCGACGACTGGGATATACAGCAAAAAGTAGGAGATACGTTTATTGAAACTGTATGTATATTTGATTTTAATATGTGTAGATATATTAACATAAACATAACTTAAACCAAACTGCACAGTTTTCAAAGCTAGAGGTACTCGAGGTCTACACATCATTTGTAAACAACTGTAATCGAGCAAAAAATGCCATTCGTTTGATGAAGCATCAGCGACCCTCATTTGCCAAATTTTTAGAATCCACAGCTCGTGAGCACAAAGGAAAACTAACTCTGGACAACTTGCTTATTAAGCCAGTACAAAAATTTCCAAAGTACATATATATAAATCCCAATTTTAATCTTATAATGCTTATGTGATTCATTTTAATTTTTCTGTAGCTACGAATTGCTCTTTCAACGCCTTATCAAGCATACAGATCACGATCATCCAGATCAGAAACATTTACAGGATGTGCTTAAATTGGTGCATGACATTTTGGTGCACATTAATTGCAAGGAACGTGAGATTATGGAAAATGGACAGCGTGAGGCAACTCTACGGGAGTTGGAAGGCGTCATAGAGGGAATAACTGATTTAATAGCACCAGAGCGTCAATTTCTGTTGTTCGATTTAGTATCCATGCCATCAGGGCAGGGTGCCCGCAAGGATCGCGGTTTTTTTCTGTTTAATGATCTATTGGTTTTGACGAGTATTAAAAAGCGCAGTGGGACAATTAGGAAACCAAATAGCTCAATTTGCCCCGGCTCAGTGGCAACTACTTTGGACACTAACAAATATAAGTTCCTCACAAAAATTTCATTAGATTGCTTAGAGATTGTCAAATGTAAGTTTTTATATATTATATCATGATGACAACACAATAGCCTAACCTACAATTGTATACAGCTAAAGATGAGAACATAAAACGCATCGTTAGCGAAATAGAAAACCTTAGCGAAGACAGCAATAAGCTACAACAAATAAGTGAAATCACGGCATCCATTAAGTATCCTCATCAGTATTTAGAAGACGTTATACGTGAACTGCATCGCGAAATTCAGCGACAGCTATCCGAGCGTCAAACAAATGACACACCGCTAAATGTGTTGGAATTGACAGTTAGTTCACCGTAAGAACAAAAATACATATATTTTGATATAATTAATAGATAGTGCTGTTGTTTTAGGAATGGAAGTCAAAAGCTGACGGTAGTATTTAGCAAAGCAGAAAGGCGTTCTAATTGGGAGGAGGTTTTTAATGAAGCTAAACTAAAACTGGGTATGTTTACCTACTACAAGATATATTTTAGTGGTTAAATTACTGTTTTAAATATGTTTTATATTTGCATTATTTTATATATATGTTATTCTCTGTAGCCGCTACACTAGAACGACATCCTATTCCTGAATTCCTTACATCTATACCTATACGCAAAACACGTGCGGGTCTACAGTTTACTTGCGCAGCAGCTACGCTGAGCGATAAACGAGATGTTTGGGTTTGCAATAGTGATGGCTATGTGGGCCAAGTGTGCATTATGTCCTTACATCCGGAACCAAATGTAACCAGCTGTAATGGCGTTTGCAATGCACGGATACTTTGCGTAGCGTCAGTACCAGCGTACAGCAACAGCCCTGAAGAACAACAAAGTGGACAGGAGGATAAGCAACAGATATTGCGCTGCACTAGTACACTATCCCATAGTTACACACAACAATTGCGTGATTATCGTAAAAGCATCTCGCCTGTTGCACAGCCTTCTTTGGGATTGGCAGTGTTAGAGAAAAAAAAAATCCCCACCTCCATTATTGGCAACGGTGCTGAAGGCACCAGCAACAGTGATACTCAGCTAGATTTAAATCTAAGCTCCAGCGAAGATGAGGCGGATGTTGTTTCAGCTGCGCCACTAGAACAACGTATTCCTAGTCCTGCGCCTTCATTACATGCCACATATCATGTGCAACAAGTAAGTATTTAAATTTCAAAGTATTTTGTATTTTATGCAGTTGTAAATGATTCATTTTAAGGACTCTAATCCCGATGAAAACGAATGTAATCAATCAACTATGTGGATTGGTACTGAAGACGGCTGCATTCATGTTTACAATAGTACTGATAATATACGTATTAAGAAGAATCGTATTAAAATTGAACATCATTCAGCTGTTTTTTCCATATTGTAAGTGCACATACGTACAATCACTAACTATGCAACATAAGTTGTGGTTAGTGATACAATGACATACAATTGGTACCTAATTACTAGCTCCTGCATTACAGATACCTGGACAATCGTGTTTTTGTATCCTTAGCAAATGGCGATATTTGTGTATATCTCAGAGATGGTGGTAAGATATACATTTATATAATTTAAATGAGACGGCAAAACTGATTTACCTTTCAGCATCTTCTTGGAATACATGCTCATCACATTGCCTCTCAATTGGGACAGTTTCCAGTCCAGTGACTAAACTGCTTAACGTTAATGGCAGTCTGTGGTGCTCCATACAGGGGATTATAAAAGTTTTAGATACTGAATCCTTTTCGGTATGAAACCTAAAACTTTTAATTTGAAAAACAGCCTGGACGGCTTGGTAATGTTTTAATATTGCAGGTCGTTAATCAAATACAAATTTCTTCGGACTCAAAACCAATTACAAATATGACAGTAGCAAGTTCTTTTGTGTGGATATCAATACAAAATTCAGCTCATATTAAGTGTTTTCATTCCAATACGTAAGTGGTATTATGATCTGTCTTGACATCTAAATGATATACTCACTGTTTATTTAATTCAATAGCCACCAACTTATTACAGAGGTAAATCTCGCTCCTGCAGTTAACAAAATGTTGTCAAATTGTGACGAAATAATTAGGCAACATAAAGCCGCATGTCTTCGCGTGACTTCTCTTCTTTGCTGCAAAGATCTCATTTGGATAGGAACCAGTGCAGGAGTTTTGTTAACAATACCTGCCCAGGGCTATGAAAAAGGTGCACACAATATTGTACCTACAGGCATACCGCACGGTCATACAGGGCATGTGCGATTCCTAACCTTTGTAGAGACACCGTCTCATGGGCTAGAAGGTTGCTCGCAAATAATAACACCTGCGACATCACGTGAAGCAGGAAGCGGCACTAGCGATGAGTACACTAAACAAGGGTGAGCTATGATAAGATATTGCATTTATTATTTATATTTACCCGTTTTTATAATTCTTGGCTGACAGTTCAACGAAGAACTCTAAGAAAAAAGTGGAAACAAAAAATATACTTATTATTTCTGGTGGTGATGGCTACGAAGACTTTCGCAATTCTGGTGCCAACTCACTAAGTGAAATTGCTGGTCGCGAAGACAGCACCAATCACTTATTAATATGGCAAATTTGAAGCAGAAGACGTAAAAATCGCTGGCGGTTACTGCTTTCGAGATGGAAAAACAACAACTGAGGTCGTCTTCAAATGTCCTTAATCTTTAACCAACTGAAAAATTGAGAATTAAAAGTAGACTGCCGCGATTTTTATTGTACTAGAAACTATGCTGACAAACATAAGTTGGCAGACCAGTGGAACAGTAACCACTAGTGTATGTAAATTATACAAGAATTGCATTGCTAATGGTATATAATTATATATATTTTAATAAATAGGTAGCAATGTTTATAATTTTTGTATTGGTAGAAGACTATATTAACACAAGAATTATGAGTGCCAAATATACACATTAATTGCGCCAAACATTCGGAATGAATTATTAAATATGTCAAATAAAAAACCTATAGCTAGGTCCAATGACGTTATATTCCATGCCCAATAAGCATAACTGCAAACGCATATAAAAACATTATTTTTATAAAATATACGAAATATGCTGACTAAATTATTTCCTATATTTATTATACATGTATGTATCTATATATACTGATATCTAAAATACCAATGTTAAATTGTAAATATATATATATATATGTATATGATATATACAAATTTATTAAAATTCTAATACAATACATAATATCGCCCTTAAAACACATTAAAGGAAAAACGTTATCGAATTTATTCTAAAAGTAATCATTGAGTTCACATACATTCATTCTATTTAAAAATGAGCGAAATGTTTGAAAAAGTTTGTAAGAATCATAGTATTAACATTAAGTATATTTCGATTTATTCAACTAGGTAACTTATGGCGTTTTCAAAATGCAATGTAATACAACTTTCATGCAAGAGAATTGAATTTCAAAAAACTGACAACCCATACATACCAAGTGATATTTAAATTTTTGGGAATGTATCAACATGTGTGTATATTTTTCGAAATAACATATTACTAACCTTGATTATTGCTAGCGATGCTTGCAGTATTAGGCATGATGGGAACCTTTCTCTTCAATACAAACAAATAATTAACTTACGGGCAAAAAAGTGTTTTTCTTTATTCTGAGACGCATTGCCTAACAAGTGAGCTCACCTTTTTGTCGACGCCACCTGTCCATATTTTGGTTAAAAAATGGTACAAAAATTGTACTAGTGTTTGTGTATCTCTTAATGTAGTTAAATCCATAGAGTATATTTTTATTTAAACTTTTTAAAATTAAATAAAATGAAACTTTTTTAAAGCAAATGTATATAAAATAATTGTAACTTGCTAACTACAATAGACTTTTTTACTTTAATTTTAATTTATTTTAACGGCATCTGACAATTGTTATCCTACCTCTATAAATACAAACAGGTGTTAGAATAGAAATCGATACACTTATACCAGAATAAATCTGAAACAGATCTGTAATAATAGATTGTGAAACAATAACTTCCCTATACAAATTGCAAAGTAAGATTTAACAATAAACAAATTTAAATGTATAAATATAAATGTGTACGTTACCTGTTAAATAAACCAAATTTTCAAACTGATGTAAAATATAAACTTCTGTTAACTTATCCATAGACTTCCTATGAAGTGGTATCATTAAGAACATAATTAGATGTATTTTTATACCCTGAACCCATTAAAAATGGGTATAAGGGTATATTGTATTTGTGCGAAAGCCAGATGTATGTAACAGGCAGAAGGAAGCATCTCCGACCCCATAAAGTGTATATATTCTTGATATATATAAATAGCCGAGTCGATCTAGCCATGTCCGTCTGTCTGTCCGTCCGTCCGTCCGTCCGCCCATCCGTATGTATGAACGCAAGGATCTCAGAACCTATAAGAGCTAGAGATGTAGGTCCTCCTAGTGCCTGCGCTGATCGAGTTTGTTTCCGATAGTCGATAACTTACTCCGTTTTCAAGCAATCGATAAAAATCGATATGGACATCCTGTTTTTCGAGCAATGTTGGTAAAATTTAAGAGCTATAGTCACCAAACTTAATATGTTGCTTCTAAAATAGAATATATATAAGCATTTTATATTGGAAGAAGGCGGTTCAGGGTATCTCCTAGTCGGGAGCTCCCGACTAGACCCTCTTACTTGTTATACCCTGAACCCATTATAAATGGGTATAGAGGTATATTGTATTTGTGCAAAATACAAATGTATGTAACAGGCAGAAGGAAGCATCTCCGACCCCATACAGTATATATATTCTTAATCAGCATCAATAGCCGAGTCGATCTAGCCATGTCCGTCTGTCTGTCCGTCCGTCCGTCCAAAATCTTAGATGTACGTGCTCCTAGTGCCCGCGCAGATCGAGTTTGTTTCCGATAATCGATAACTTACTCCGTTTTTAAATAATCGATTAAAATCGATATCGATATCCTGTTTTTTTTTTTTTGGCAATTTTGGTAAATAATTAGAGCTAGGCGTCTAAAATAGAATATATATATGTATTTGATGTTGGAAGAAGAGGGTTCAGGGTATCCCCTAGTCGGGAGCTCCCGACTAGAACCTCTTACTTGTTATAATCTTGTGCAAGTGTCGGAAATTGCCCATATGTAAGCTAAGTATAATTATTCACACATATCTTAATACGCCGGGGGACAAATCATTAGTAAAACGTAAAAATAGTTATGTTGTCATAATGTGACTCATATTATGAAGATAGCCAGGCTCTGTGGTAATAATTTGTTATATCCTGTGCCGCTTTGCAATAAAATAAATTATGACATGAAAGCACGTTATTCAATTCAGCAGTAATGGATAAATACGTTATGTATACTTGTAACTTACCAATGAATGTAAATATTATTTAATTGGTTTTTGTTTTGCATGCGTATCTCTACATAAATTAGAATTGTTTGTTGGGGGTGTAAGAAAATTAGCCAATAGTGTTAAGCAAATAATTATATGTAACAAGCAGAAAGAGTCATTTCCCATAAGCCTCAACAACCATTATCCATAAGCATAAACAACCGATCCAAGATTGCCTCAGTTTTGCCCCGTTGTAGAAATGAAATGCCATTAGAGGGGAGGCTCTCACACCTTCGCGCTTTTGCTGTATATCATCGGGTAAGATGTAATTCGTATGTTACATTTATAATCATGTTAGAGTGTACGATGATTTATTCAAATTACAAGCATAAATTTAACTTTGTTAGTGTACTTTGTTTGCTTAATATATTTGCTACAATTTAAATGTACGTAAATTCACATATATAAAAGCAGAAAGAGGCATACCCAGTCATTTCCAGATCGCTTGAGTTTTGCCGAAATGTAAAAGTTAAATGCTTATAGAGGGGGTGTTTTATATACCTTAGCACTTTAGATACGATTTCAATCCAATCTTAAATTTATAATCATGTTAAAATGTTGGAGTAAACATTGTTATGAATTTTATTTGCTTAATATACCAAATATAATTAAAATATAAGTATCTAAACTTATTCCAGACATTGCATCATAAACAAGTAAGAGGTTTTATTCGGGAGCTCCCGACTAGGGGATACCCTGAACCCTCTTCTTCCAACATAAAACGCATACATATATTCTATTTTAGAAGCTATATGTCAAGTTTGGTGACTCTAGCTCTAATTATTCACCAAAATTGGCCAAAAAACAGGATATCGATATCGATTTTTATCGATTGCTTGGAAACGGAGTAAGCTATCGATTATCGGAAATAAACTCGATCTGCGCAGGCCCTAGGAGCACCTTTATTTAAAATTTCAAGTCTCTGGCTCTTATAGGTTCTGAGATCCTTGCGTTCATACATACGGAGGGTCGAACAAACGGACAGACAAACGGACATGGCTAGATCGACTCGGCTATTGATGCTGATCAAGAATATATATACTTTATGGGGTCGGAGATGCTTCCTTCTGCCTGTTACATACATTTGGATTTTGCACAAATACAATATACCCTTATACCCATTTTTAATGGGCTCAGGGTATAAAAATACGCATGCGCGTAAATATACATACCTTTCGTTAATTCCTTTAACCTACGTTCCACAGTGTATTTTCCATTATTACAGACATTACAGAAATTTACGGAAACCCATACGCTTAAGTTTTCCTTTTCCTTCAGAACAATAATTTTTTGCTTACAATCTTAAATGTACATTACAGAGCATACTATTAAAATGCGTTCAAAAAGATATTACTATAAACGTAAATATGTGTACATAAACATTTTAAAGCAAACATGCAAATATTGTTTTAAAATACAACGTATTTTTCGTTGTACCTTTGAAAGGTAAATACGAACCTACAATCGCGATAGAAGGATTAACACCAGGCTACACTGAACTGTATAATCTAAAATAGGCAATACAGATACATATATAGAACATATATATAAACGGGTCCCACATATTGGAAACTGTTGCGGTATGCCGCTTACATAGCAAATACGATTTCCCCCATATACGCACACTGGGAGACGTAAAGAACACTCGTAGCATGTATCTTTCGTGTTCAAAGGCACACTTACAGATACATATATTCTCTCTGTTGTGTTACGGTTGTCAAAGCAGACGGCAGTTTTGGAAGAGCTCTGAACCAATGCAGTCGCGTCTATAATTTCGGCTAATTGGATGTGGCATTTAAAAAATCGTTAGCCAAACACATAGAGTTGATCAAATGTATATTTACTTAATGGAAACGTTTAATAACAATTAAAACCCGTGTGAAACAAAAAAATACCATCTTTACTCTGAGAAGCACCAAAAGAAATACGCTGCACTCAAAAGTTATATATTTATAAAAACTTACCAGTGACCTATACAAGAAATGTTTAAATTGCAAAATGTGAAAAATTATTTTGAATGATTCCGAGTAGACTTCACAAGAAACGTATGCCTAAAAAAAAAATGTACCAAATGAGAAATTTCGTAAATACCTGTGTGTATAAGTTATCCTTTATGAACTACATATAAATCAAGCATTACATTACCATCTTCTCGAGAACATTAAGTTATATGTTTACTTGGCTACACACAAATATCCCCTGTAATGTATCTGGGGTAAAACTATTGCTTGTGCAATGTTAGTGCATTGAATATGTACATATGCACATACATATCATGTACATATAGGGAAATGCTGATAATAATAATGGAAAAAGCTTTTATAATTAACACAGTAAAATTAACCTAAGTGAAAATAACCAACGAGAAATGTTAAATAAATAATAAAAGCTACAAGTTGCCAAGGTAATGCTTTAATATTTATAACTTATAGGTTAACACATTTTTTAGACAAATGGCTAATTTCTATGTGTTCAAGTCTCCTTGAATTGTTAACAAAACTGAAGTAATATATATTGAAGAAGAATTAAGCCAATATGAATTCCTAACAAATTATATTCGAACTTGTCAGAAATTGACAAAATTTTCAAAACAAAAATTACAAATTAATGAGTAGAGCAAAAACGCATTTAATAATATCTTTCTATCCGCCAAATAGAACTTATATTGTAGAAATAAAAACCGATGTACCAACAGCTGTTGTAGAAGCTATTATTGACAGCTGGCCATTTTAATAGCATTTTAATGCTCAGATTCAACCCAAATAAAGTGCCTTCTTATTTTTGCAACAATTTTTTATAAGTATGCGTATACATACATATACAGACAATCAATTTTGATACACAAACGTATATATACATAAATAAAATTGTATATATGTATCGTTCTTTTTCGCTGGAATTACGTGTTTGCATAAAAATATCCATTAGAAGCTTATAATGTAATAAATGTTCTTTTTTTTTTGAATTAGGTAATAAGGGAATGACGCCAGCTTCACTCTGCCCTTGAAATTAAAATGACAGATAAAGTTGTAGATATGTATACAACAAAAACGAAAGGGAAAATTTTCCTAACATGTCGTGCAATTTATTTGTTTTGATTTTAAGTTGTTTTCTAAGTGACTATTCTTTTGAAAATCTTTATATATTGATCGATTTAAGACAATCGATTTTGTATTTTAAGCACATTTTGAAAAATTGTCGTTCGTACGTATTTTTATAATTGAAATAAGTAGACATTTTTGCTTATCAAACAACAGATATGACCAATTAGTACCATTATTTTAAACACAATTTATCTTCCATAATAACCAAATTTATATAATGCAAACAAAATATAAAGATGAAATACGCAGTATGCATATGTGTAACAAGTAAGAGGTTCTAGTCGGGAGCTCCCGACTAGGGGATACCCTGAACCCTCTTCATCCAACATCAAATATATATATATATATTTATTCTAGTTTAGAAGCTATATGTCAAGTTTGGTGACTCTAGCTCTTATTATTTACCCAAATTGCCCAAAAAACAGTATATCGATATCAATTTTTATCGATTGCTTGGAAACGGAGTAAGTTATCGACTATCGGAAACAAACTCGATCTGCGCAGGCCATAGGAGCACCTACATCATTTCAAGTCTCTAGCTCTTATAGGTTTTGAGATCCTTGCGTTCATACATACGGACGGACGGACGGACGCACAGACAGACGGACATGGCTAGATCGACTCGGCTATTGATGCTGATCAAGAATATATATACTTTATGGGGTTGGAGAAGCTTCCTTCTGCCTGTTACATACATTTGGATTTTGCACAAATACAATATACCCTTATACTCATTTTTAATGGGTTCAGGGTATAAAAATGAGGGTTTATAAATAATTGCATTAGGAAATCGCTTGATTTGTTATCATATGTGCGATAAGAAACTCTATGACAATGAATACTTTGTGGTATATACATATATGTACCTACATATATGGGCTGTATTCAAGAGTTATAATAATAGATTTAAGTTTAAAAACTCTTTAAACAAAGCAGAGCAAAGGATAGAGTATATGGGCGTAGGTAGTACAATGTCAAATTCGCTAAAGACAATCCTTACGCTCTCTGTTTATATACTTACGAACGCCACTTTTTCTATATCACTTTTGGTTTTAATTTGCTTATCACACACCTATATATACATATGTATATAAGTATATACGCAATATCAATCTGCGACAGCCACGGCATTTGGTAAACGCTATCAGACGAAAAATAAATAATGCTTAATTCCACATTATTGTTATTGGCAACGTGGAAAACGGTCGATTTAAGGCAGACCGGGTTCTGTTTCATTCCTCCATCAGTTTACTTTTATTGGTCGGTTACACCCCAGGGGCCCCGAAAACACATGCATTGTACATATGCCTGAAAAAAGAGTCGGAAAATAACCTTTATACATTATTTGAGTTTATAGCCAAACGTCTTATTTAAGTGTTAGTGTTTTTGGTTGTGATAATTAATCGGTTTCACTTTTAATAAATATTTAAAATTAACTACAATCGTACGGTTTCTTTGTGATTAAATTTACATTTAGTTCAGTTGGGTAAATTTATTTACAAATGGCACATCGAACATGTTACCAATAAAAATATGTCAATATTAAATAATTATATCACGACTCGTTTAGTGTATAATTTTTTATATATATATTATATCTATATACTGAAAACGTTATAACGATCGTATATAAATTGTTGTTCTGCTAGTAGTAAGGTGTAGTAGTAAAGAAAGCAATTATCAAACTGGCTTACTAGCTGAAAATAAAATGTATTAAAAAAAAATAAAATAAACACAATATAATATCTTTTTTTATCATCGCAGGGCATCGTTTGAAGATAAAAAAAAAAATAACCAACATGAAAAATGATGACGCTAAAGTATTCCAATTTCAATGGCGACTTAAAGTTACCGGGTATAAAAATCTAAAAAAAAACTAACAATGACTGTAAAGCTTGAACTATGTCAATTCAACAATAATACATACTGTTGACTCTGATACAGCATATATGGCTCTCCATTCACAGTTGGAATATCAAAACGTTTTAATTCCACCACTGATGTATGTGGCCACTACATTCCTTGCCACAAGCGGCGTTATTGGATTGCAGCAAAACGTTTCTATTGGTTACGATAACTTTCTAGAAACATGGAGTATTGGCAATCGGAGTTTGTCACCAACGTCATATACATCTGGCATCCCTTCGTTGCAGTCAAAACTAAATGACTCTGGAAATTTCGGAGATTCAGTGCCTACCCTAACACTTTTCAATTACTACAATGAATCTGCAGCGACGGCCGAATGGGCCCACTTCTACGATCTCATTCTTTCGTGGCAGGGCATTTGCTTGATTGCTGTGTTCTGCACTTTTATCATTGTCACCGTTATTGGCAACACACTCATTATATTAGCTGTTTTGACCACTCGAAGACTTCGAACGGTTACAAACTGTTTTGTTATGAGTTTAGCGATAGCTGATTTACTTGTAGGGATTTTTGTTATGCCGCCAGCAGTAGCTGTACATCTAATTGGTAAGCAATTTTACCAATCGAGTACAAATATACACGCAATTCATTTATTCAAACGAAGATTAAATTGCATATTGTTGTATACAAGTTCACTTTAAACTACAGTTTTTCCTAAGCTTAATTCGGTGATTTTTTCAGGTTCCTGGCAACTCGGCTGGGTACTCTGCGATATTTGGATATCCTTTGATGTCTTGCTATGTACAGCATCTATTTTGAGTCTGTGTGCCATCAGTGTTGATAGGTATTCCAGTTTAATATAACAAGCCTAATTTGTTAACAAAAAAAATTAACTTTTTAGATACCTTGCTGTTACACAGCCACTTACTTATTCTCGGAAACGGCGTTCTAAGCGCCTTGCGCTTTTAATGATTCTTATCGTTTGGATCCTGGCATTAGCAATTACTTGTCCTCCCATGTTAGGATGGTAAGCAAATAAAACTTATATAACTAAAAGAAAATAGTGAAAGGATAAATAATCAGATATGTATACTAACAGCTACGAAATGTTTGACCATTTGTGTGTGTTAACCAATTATATATTCATGGAAAGTGATTAACGCAAGTCAGATATTTACATTTCATAAATTTATTGTTTATCACAATTTATTCAACTTTATTAATAATCAATAATACGTTAAATATTCATAACTTCGTATGTAACATTCATAACTTTTTGCATAGGTATGAACCTGGACGCCGAGACCTACGAGAGTGTCGTTACAACCAAAATGAAGGCTATGTCATTTTTTCAGCGATGGGTTCATTTTTTATACCAATGGCTGTTATGATTTATGTTTATGCCAAGATTTCTTGTGTAATTGCAAAAAGACACGACAATATGTCTGACATTAATGTTCATAACAAGGTAAGCATTAAACGGAACATAACAAAATATTGATAAATAGTGTTAAAGTAGCATTCATTCGATAATTATAATATTGTTCTAAATAAATTGTATGTATATGTTTACACAAATGCCATAAAATATCCGTAGGGTATAGAAAATGAATTATAAGATTACAAACAAAACAAATACTATTTATAAAGAGAAATAAAATTTTTAAAATTTATATCTCATACACAGAAGTTTAAACGGTATACCGCCGCCGACGTTGAAAATGAATTCTCCGAACAGGAACATAGTACGGGCTACAAAAGCAAACAGGCTGCTGCGCAAACATTCTTTAACCAAAGAATATCTAAGGATCTACATGAAATTGTACTTAGCAATAGCGACAATCTTGGAGTACCAACATCAGATGGAGTTAATGCTGGAAATTGCCAGACCTTGCTGGCTCTGCCATCAACCCATAATGCTAGTGGAAAAAACGGTTGCTATGAATTAACTCGACCATCTTCATTGTCTCTGAAACGGACGTCTACCGCTTCTACGACTATAACCACAATGGCAAGCGGTGTAGGTCCAAGCAGTAGTTTATTAGATGCACCATGGCAGTCCCAGCCACAACAACAACCGCCAACTCATAGCTTTCGGCATTCCCATCTTAGTGTGGGCGGTGGAGACAGGCTGCGTGGCCACCATCATCATCCGTCTGCAGGATCAGGAACGGCTGATGTTTCCACCACTACTTCAACCAATATTAAATCTCTGTCGAACCGCATTACATCCCTTAAAAAGGAAAACAAAACAACCCAGACACTAAGCATTGTCGTTGGTGGGTTTATCGCCTGCTGGCTCCCTTTTTTTGTCTACTATCTTATAACACCATTTCTGGCCGAGCACCAGGTCAGTGGCACGTTGGCAAAGGCTCTTACCTGGCTCGGTTGGTTCAACAGCGCTATCAATCCTTTTATCTACGCATTTTACAGTGTCGACTTTCGTGCCGCCTTTTGGCGCTTAACCTGTAAACGATTTTTTAGTGACGACCAAAAGCCACAATTTCCCACAAACACAATGTCTATTAGGCGATAGTCGTGGCGTGTCGCCACCTTACATTCCTCCTATACACCCACAAAAATGATGATATTAGGGATAGGGCTTGGCGACATTTCCTACAATATTGCTTTTAGATTATACAACCAGAAATTGCTAAGCACAAAAATATTTAAAATTATATTTATGGATCCCAATTGGTTTGTTGAAGTTTTATTTAAAGAATATTTTTTATATAATTCTATGATGCTATGTAAACAAGTATTTGCCAGCTTTCATTTAAGATTAGCATATAGACATATACACATATACATATTTCACTCTAAAGATGAGCATACGAATAAGCACTTGGTGCAACTGTGCCTACGTCGATAATCAACAATACAAACCAAATTTTAGACAAAGGTCACTAATTATATTTTTGGTTACCAACCTACTAATGAGATTTTCTTTACAACATTTACTTCCACAAGAAACATAGTAGTATTGTTTTTCGTATATATAATAATTGAAAATAAATATATACACGCATTACATTTTTATTGTGATTTACACCTTATTAAAGCTAATAACATTTAAAATTTAGATGTAGTGACATTTCTTAGATCCATTTTAGGTGGCATCATAAATAAAATCACGAAAAGAAACTAGAAATTGCAGTCAATTGTGAAAAGGTAGAAGTAATCTTCTATATATATGTATATATATATATATATATATATATATATGTATATATATATATAAAAATCAAATATGTATATATACAGTATATCAATATATGCAAATGTTTAAGAAATCCAAAATTGAAATTCCTGCTCACCGACAACTGAATATCATTTTCATAAAATTTCTTATAAAACACCCAGTGACAAACTGAACGGTAAGAGCTACAAATCGGACGAAACTCAAAGCCCCGCCTTTACAACTTCCGACTCGCATTAATCATCGGAAAGGGGCGAATTTTTCGAAAAGTGGGGAACACAACCTAAATGAATTTTCATTAAAATCCTTTAAAATGATTTTGGTAGGCCGCTATTACGGGGTGGAATTTCCAAAACCGCTGAATCAGGTCTTCATTGACTTTTTTCATAAAGCCCTACCCCCTTCGCCCTACCCCCATTTTTATACACCCCTAAAATTTCCATTTTTCACAAAAGTAATGCACTAATTCTAAAATAAATTAAATATTTTTAAACTTCTTCATGTTGAGTAGATCTAGATGATCGAGGTATTTAACATACAACTTGATAACCAAGAATGTACATATATTTTTATAAGGCCCATAAATATCTCCCTTAGCCCATTTGAATAATTATACTTATGCATACGCCAATCTGGGTATGAAAAATCTCGGAGCCGAACACCACTGACTAAGCCACTCTTAATTTTAGGGTAACAGTGATATATTCTTTATATTCTATAAAATAATCAAAATGCCTAATTTGATTTCTGTATGTCGTATACTTTACATCGGTAATATCCTATTTTGAAGAAGCCGGAAGTTAGTGACAAAATTGGATATACATAATTTTCGAATGGTAACTTAGCACTATACCTGTCTTATTGTATTTAATGTCGGAGGGTAGAGCATGTACAAGTTTTGGACTCATATCAAATGGATAATCCATCTCAATTAAGTGAATCCACATAAATAAGTGAAATTAAGTAAATAAATAAGCATTTAAATAAATTGATTTACGTGCTCTTACCTATGTTTTAATTTAAATAAAACCTATGGACTTTCTAAGCAATTAACATAGACGTAAATATGTATGTTTCTATTGTGGGACTTAATGCTTTAAGTGCGAAACAGCTTCATACGATTTCGAGTAAGTTTCTGCTTGCAGATTCGCCGAAATGTTAAACGCCAAAACGCAGCTCGAAAATCGGGATTAAAGGCATAAATAAATGGATTGATGGCACAGTTCAGCCAGCCAACCCATGTAAAAAATGACATAAGACTTTCGAGTTTTTTTAACTGCGGCAGAAAGGGTATCAACAAATAGTATGCAAAAAATGGAGTCCAGCAAGCAATCAGACCTCCCATGACAATGGTAAGGGTTTTGGTCGTTTTGGTATTTTTTATTTTTGTTGATACTCGCATTGGAATGCGATGACTTGCTAACTGTCTTTGAAACTGATGTAATGTTGTAGACGACCTGTTGGGCCCGTTATTATAAGCCGTTTCTAAAGATGTGCCAGCCAGACATTGATTTTCTTTGTAACATAAAGCTGGTATAGAGAAAGCGGACGCGCATTTTGCATGATATTTACAATTATGTGTTGACATTCGTGAAAATTCTATAAGTTCATAGAATGTCGGTTGATGTTTGAGTTTCATTCTTTTATCGCCCAATTCGGTGTCCTGGCATTTAACGCATCTAACGTGGTTTGAACTTAGAATAGGATTTACATGGGTGCTTATTACACTGCAACGAGCTTCACAACATGGTAAACATTTGTGCAGGTTACAACGATAATGTTCAGATTCCAGGATGAAGTTGTCGCCGTCTAAATCATGATCAGCCGTGCGTTCCGAGTTCTGGCAGAAGAAAACTGAATTATATAATAATACAAATATATTTTGGAATGCTTACCGCATCGCGTACAATCCGTTGTCGTCGTGATGTCAGAACATAACCAATTCTAACGTAAACGTACAACATGACAGTGAGAGGGATAAAAAAAGAACCCATCGCTGAGTAAACGACATATCCTTTATTCTGATTGTACCGACAGTCAACAAAGTCTGTTTGATGACGATTCCTTCCCGGCTCATACCTGAATAAGTAAAATAGAGAATGATACACATTTTGTTATTATATGAGCACTAAATTTTGTATTTCTTCAAAATGTTTCTTAAACGTTTTCCCTAATTTCAATCAAACAAAAAAAAAAAAATATGACAAATATCATCCTTAAGTGAGCATACTTACCAGCCGAGCATGGGGGGGCAGGTGATTACAAAGGCCAGTAACCACACTCCAAGAATCATTAACAATGCCAATCGTTTGCAACGCCATTTTTTCGAATATGTCAATGGTTGTGTCACTGCGAGATACCTATGTTAAGTACAAAGCAATAAAAACAGAGTAAATGAAAACAAAAACCAAGCGGCACATTGTGTATTAAGCTGTTAACAAACGTCCCTAGCAAACAGCGAAGCATGGCGTCAGCTTGGAAATGCCATTTAAATGTAATTGAAACTTCCAACAATAGAGCGAGCTCTACGTACCGCCCACATTATTACCATCGGGTTCTCTATACTATTTTATTTTTTGCCCACGCCCTGTTACCTTTAAACGGCATGTACAGCATGGGTCAGTAAAACATTTTTTGCAGAGTATTTTCACCTTTTTATATGTCCATGACGTCATAACAATGAATTACATTTTTTATAACATCGAATTAGCGCACGACATAAGGATTTTATTAGCTAAGGCGGTATACGAGTTTTCACATATATTAGTCATTAACATTAATAATCCTACCAAACGGTGCATGTACTCGAACATACATCTATGAGTATTATTTATTCGCGACATACAGAATGTGCTGATGACGGACTGTAACACTATTTTCACTCACGATATCAGATATATGAATATTATCAATTATTTAAAACGAACCTGTCTAAACTGATGGCACATAAACTAAGAATAGACGCCGTGCATAGCAATATATCGAAGGATATCCAAAACTCGCAGAGCAGCCAGCCAAGTTTCCACGAGCCTGCATTAAGAATACATATAATATATAAAAAATAAACAAGATTTCACAAAAGAAAAACTATCTTTGATATCCAATATAATAATTATTATCCAGTATAATAAATAATAATAAGTATAATAATTATATAATTTAATTTAATATTTAGTAATCTGATGATTTAAATATTCATTTCGTAACATTTTTAATTAAAATGGTTTATGCAATGTATTCATCGGTGTAAGGTGTTTTTACGACAAGCAACGTATACAAATTATGTTTGCCCCAGGCCTTGGCAGTTTAAAGTATGTAAAACCATGTTATGTTTTTAAAGCTTAAATGGAAATGGTTACTCCCAATTCACAAAAGGGCTGGGAAGGCAAAGTTTGTGTTTTGGTTACTTCAATCGAATTCGTTCGGCTTCTAAAACAACTTGCACCTACCTATACTATGTCCTGCATCTACTTAAAGGTATTGTACAGCTCTTCATTTTTTAATTCGATTATTTGTTTGTAAAAGGTTGCCCTTAAAAGGGAAAAGTTTTAATGCATTTTAGGAATCATAAAAGCATGTAATTACGTTTTGAATTGTCCTAGCGAAAGTTGTTGAAATAATTATTTTTAGTAAACACAAATTAATTTGATTAAAACTCATGTACAATGTGCAAAGGTTAACCAAATAAAAAAAGTTCATACAATACCCATACATATGGAAATTGTTATAAATAAAATTGTCACAAAGTGCAAGTAAGGCCTTGGCTAAAACGCGCACACCTAACTTGATATTTGATAAGGTCATAACGGATGAAAAAACATACATTCCAGAATGTAAATACTTACCAATGACGTGCAAGGCTACTGCCGGTGGCATGACGAAAATGCCCACAAGTAAATCAGCAACCGCCAAACTCATCACAAAGCAATTTGTAACGGTACGAAGTCTTCTGGTGGTTAAGACAGCTAATATAACAAGCATATTTCCAATGACAGTCACCAATATCAGTAGTAAGAAAATAGCCACAGCTATAGACTTTGGCCAGGCCAAACTTTTCAATGATGAGTTCATTATTGATAGTTGATAGACATTGTCGATGCAAATATCTCAAAATTTGTTTAAGTTATATATTTCACGCATGGTTATTACGATAACAATTATGGTCGGCGGACTATCATCTTAACTGATAACCTAATTCAAAAAAATTTATAAAAGATAATCAGCAAAATAATAGAGATAAGGAGCATACTTACATATATTCATATTCATACCCAAATGTTCCATCTATGAATTTTGACCAGGCTTTCCGTAGATTCTAATCGTTTATAGCTTCGTGTTTCGAAGATGACATGCAAATATATAAAATAATGGAGTACCCAGTTCATAACTGTCCTACCATTCTACACTAACTTATAATAGCTTACATCTGTACATGAAAACCCACGCTCGCACACCCACCAATGTGTTTATTCTGGCCACGAAAAATAAATTTTCAAAAGCCTCTTGCTTTATATGCAGTAATTCATGGCGTCCAAAAATATTGTTTATATGGACAGACAACCAGAAGAACGAAGCAGATCGGACATTCCACAAAACGAATATTCTCCCTTTGACTTTTTAACAGATTATAGCATTTACTTATGCTATTGTGTATTTAACCTTTAGTCAAAGACGTAAATCCATAGCTTTTAAGTTTCTAAGTAATATTCATAGACAATATGCTATTTTGACACACATGTTAAACAAATTTGTAATACAAACGAACTTATAATTGAAAAATGTTGCATGTACTAACCATAACTATTCTTTATATTCTATTATCTAACACATTTTTTAGCCCGATATTATTGGATGATTCACATCTATATCTACGAGCTAAGTAGTTGCATCAATGTTAATTAAATATTTTTTCTTTTTATAGTCCCTAAGATATAAGATTCCATAATATTTAATTTAATTAAGAATAAGAAAAGGCAACCTCTAGAGATTTCTTATGCACCACACAGTTGGTCTAAGCACACGTTAATAACAAACTGGCAGAGCAACTTTTTGACGTTTGGACGGCGCTGAATCTGATCGCAGCCACTGCCTCGTATGAGCATTATTATTTTTTTTATTGGCTGCTAAAGTACACAAAAGGCAGCGCACTAAACCAACATGGGAGAATTCATTGGCTATTCAACATTTGCGTTTTGTTGCTTTGGAATTTGTATTATTATTTTTAGCATTATTAAATCGGCTGAACACATTGATGTTTGTAGCTGTTTTGTTAAAGAAATATTGAAAATTTTCCGAAAATTGCTTTACGTTTTATAAATTGAAAACAGCTAAGGTGTTAATAATCTTGTTTTATTCTAGTTTATTACGTGGATGAACATATATTTCTAATTATATTTGATACGGTGCGACAAAAGTTTACAGCTCGAGTCAAAAGCAACAAAAAGCAACACCAAACAAGCAAAAGTAATTGTAAAAACACAATGTCCATGGGTTTCAAAATTTGTGTCTCCACATGAAGCGGTGTCAACTGGTGTATAACGTCATTGTTTCTTTATTTCCTTTTTTGGCACACTGTCATTACCCAATCGCAATGAGTTTGAATTTTTTAGTTTCACTACTAGCTATATTCTATATTTTCTTGTATGAACAACTAACTATCGGTTTACTAGTTTCACTACGTTCCCTGGAACAAATTTTTTCTTTGCTCAAGAAGTAATAAGGTTCTCTCTTAGCGATTGGGTAATGACAGTGTGCCAAAAAAGGAAATAAAGAAACAATGTTTGGTCCAGATATCTTAAAAAAAAAAAAAAAACAAAATGTATGTACTGCCTGTAATAGAAAGTCAGACTTATTTGTACAGTATGGGGTCCGGGATGTCTCCTTTTAGGGCTTACACATTTTATGAAAAAAATATATAAACGACGCCCAAGGGATATATTTTCCATATAACAAGAAATAACAAGAATTTATTACCGTTTTATGCAGAACTTTATAAATATATTTATATATATTATGTTATATATATTTACTAATTTTAGGCACAAAAAATAAAATTATAAAGGCAACAACAATTATGTTTCATTTTTATTTAGAGCCAAATTTCTTAATGGCCTTTTAAAAATTTCGTTTGCACTAATTTATATGATTTAATTTTCATATGATGTCAAAAGAAATATATCTTCTAGTTAAAAAACATGATCATTTTTTATAAGTTCAAAGCAAAGTTTTCATCACTTAAACTTCATTGCAAATTTGTACTAGCTCTGTGCGATGCGCCGGTAACGAATTAATAAGTTTATCAGTTAATTACAGCTCTTATACCTTTTGACGTATGTCCTGTTATACACTCATAAGCTTTTATTATTAGTTGAAGGTAACCATGCACACATTGAAGTATATTAATATTGACTTATTATGGTTTCAGACCAGTAGTATAACAAATACTAAAGAATATTTGGATCTCTTGTCAAAAACTAATAGTAATTTAAATTTTATTATTGAGAGAATGATTTGATGAAATATTTTTCTACTTTATCAGAGTCTTTTTTTTTTGCAACCAATCGCCAGGACGTTTCGGCTACGACTAACACAATTGTGAACGAAATATTTAGCCAACTTTCCCACTCGCTTTAGTTGGTCCTCTTGCCCCATATTGCTGTGTTTCATTAGTGCGTATGGGCGCTATATACACACGAATGTAAATATGCGTGCGGCTGTCCACTTGTTTGACAATATGAATTGCTTGGGTAATTACACAGTCTTTGTTGCTCTAATTTTTTTTAAAACAAAAAAAATGAAACAAGAGGTTCTAGTCGGGAGCTCCCGACTAGGGGTTGCCCTGAACCCTCTTATTCCAACACCAAATTCAGCTCGCGCTAAGTGCTCTTTTTCTTTAGTAGCGATTAAGAAATATATAAAAAAAATTCCCTGGCTGGGTTCGAACTCGCAACTAACCGCATTACTTGCCGCCGTCTTTACTCAACAGCCACACAAAAAAACAAGTAAGAGGTTCTAGTCGGGAGCTCCCGATTAGGGGATACCCTGAACCCTCCTCTTCCAACACCAAATGCAAATTTATATTATACTATTCTAAAAGCTACATGTTAAGTTTGGTGACTCTAACTCTTATTATTTACCAAAATTGCTCAAAAACAGGATTTCGATATAGATTTTTAACGATTACTTTGAAACGGAGGCACTACGCAGGCACTAGGAAGACCTAGACTTTCTCTAGCTCTTATAGGTTCTGATATCCTTGCGTTCATACATACGGCCAGACGGACGGACGGACAGACAGTCAGACGGACTTGGCTAGATCGACTTGGCTATTGATGGTGATCAAGTATATATATTTATGAATGTCGGAGATGCTTCCTTCTACCTGTTACATACATTTACATTTTGCACAGATGCGATATACCCTTTTTACCCATTTTTAATCGGTTCCGGGAATAAAACAGTTTCTCCGTTAGGTCTCGAACTCGCGACACACAACACCACTTGCCACCGCCTCTACTCAACAGCCACACCAATTATTAACTCTTGTTGAGAAAAAAACCAATTAAGATAGTATCACAGAAAACAATACAATCGCAATTATAATGCTGTTGATGAATACGAACCAGACGCGCATGAATGTGTGTGTTTACCAGCATGCGGATATTCTTCGAATTTGCACTGGTGCCGCAAACACGTGTTTTTTAACCGATCTTCATTTAATTTTCTACAGTATACCATAGAATATTTGTGTATTTTCAAAAAGTCAATTGCATGAAAATTGTGACTTAAATTGGTGGGTTATTAACTTGATTTATAGCCAGCGGGGAGGAGGCGATAGGTATAAAATGAAAGATACTTGATATATGTATATATATAGTATTCTGGAGTAAACATATCACTTTTGGTGACTCTAGCTCTTATTATTTTTTGCAATTTGCTTAAGAAACTGGATTTCAATATCGATTTTTATCGATTACTTGGAAACGGAGTTATTTATCGAGTATCGGAAACAAACATGGGGGATACCCTGAACCCTCTTCTTTCAACACCAAATGCAGCACGCGCTACGCGCTCGTTTGTAGTAATAAAGATACCTTAAAAAATTCCTTTGGCATGGTTCGAACTCCCAACTAACCGCACTACTTGCCGCCGTCTCTACTCAACAGCCACACCAGCCACAAAAAACAAAAAAAATGGTTTCCTCGATAGGTCTCGAACTCGCGACAGACAACACCACTTGGCACCGCCTCTACTCTAACAGCACACCCAGAATTGAGTCCTTTTGAGAGAAAAAAAAAACAAATTAAAATAGCAGCACAGAAAGCAATACAATAGCGCTGGTGCCGCAAACATGTGTTTCTTAACCGACCTTCCTGATATTGGCTGGAGTATATCTAATTGTACCATAGAATATTGGTGTATTCTCAAAAGGTAAATTGCATAAAGTCAATTGCATTTAAATTGTGGCTTAAATTGGTTGGCAATACAAGTTGGGTTATTAACTTGATTTATAGCTCTGCGGTGGTAGCGGGGGATGGCGATAGGTATAAAATGGAAGATACTTGATATATATATAATATTTTAGAAGAAACATATCATGAATAGTGACTCTAGCTCCTTATTATTTATCCAATTTTCTCAAAAAACAGGATGTCGATATCGATTTTTATCGATTGCTTGGAAACGGAGTAAGTTATCGATTATCGGAAACAAACTCGATCTGCGACACTAGCCACTAGGAGGACCTACAGCTAAAATTTCTCTAGCTCTTATAGGTTCTGATATCCTTGCGTTTATACTTGCGGACAGACAGACGGACGGACAGATAAACAGACGGACATGACTAAATCGACTCGGCTATTGATGCTGATCAATAATATATACACTTTATGCGATCGGAGATGCTTCCTTCTGCCTGTTACATACATTTACATTTTACACAAATAGAATACAAACCCTTTTTACCCATTTTTAATGGGTTCAGGGTATAAAAAGAGAAACAAACACTTAAGCTTATGCAATTAAACTTTACTCTTGCAAGTATAATTGTATGTATATAATGCAGTATATGCGTTATTTACCGTACGATCAGTTTCAAAATCATTTTCAAAGCTTTTTGAGAACTAGTATATATATATATAGTATGTATATATATATAAAATATATAATATATTATAAACATGGGAATTTTAGCATAACCACATACTCGTAATTGTCGTTAACTTGTGCATGCAACACTTTTTATTGACTTATAAATTACGTATAAAAGCTCTAAGCTTCTTTATTTTATTTTTTTTTTTTTATTTGATCAACTATTTTGACATTGGATGACGTTCGCCGACGGCGCCAATCTTTCCAGCTTAAACATGTGTACATCATATCACTTAATAGTCTAAAATATTGTTGATAGACGATCCGTCTACTATTTTATCTGATTCAAGTATTTAGAATAAAGATAAAAAATGTGAATTTGACTATTTTTTATAGTCACTCATTTTCAGAAAAAGGGATTTTGTTTTCTAAAACCATTCGAAATTTAAAATTGTAGATATAGGCATTTGAATTTTGAAAATTGTAGATATAGGCATTTGAAAAAGATAATTTATATCCATTTATAAATATACTCGGAAATCTTCCATTGTAGTTCCTGTAGGTAGTTAGTGAAATACAATCGATTTAGGATTGGGGCCTTGTGCTACATACGTTGTATAACGCAACCTTTAAATGAATTCGTTCGGACGTCGATTTCACCTTCTTCAAGCTGCATAAAAGAACAACTTTGATTATTTATGTTGTTAAATATTAGTTGAATTCATAAAGCATACCTCATCAAAAGCATAAATATCTTGATAGCAAGAATGTGATATACATTGCCTTAGGCAGTTTAATTTGGAAACCATAGCTAAATTGGCATTAACACATAGTGAGTTTTGTCCACAGGCTAGCTCGTAATCGTGATAGGTGATTTCCTAAAAAAGACAATTATTTGAAAAATCAATAGTCTCTCTTCATGTTATACATACATTTTTGCTTGTTTCTTTGTACGCGTACTCAGGAAAATGAAAAGTTGCTGCCCTAGATAGAGGTTTATTATTCCTAAAGTTTTCTGAAGCACATAAAGCAATTTTTATGATAACGATTATACCGAATATATCAGAAAGACGTGACATGTTTGTTCGACTGTCAACCGTCGACAAATCTTGGTATTTATCATTTAATATTCTTTCGTTTGGTATTTTCTACACAATAGTGGTAGTCCCTATTAAAATATAATACCAAAAAGCCTATTCACAGACAACTACAGAAGCATCTGGTAACAAGCTTTAAAAAACTCATTTTCAAATATCTTTGCTCAAAATCAGGGGGCTACACACTTTTCGAAAAATGCATTTCTCCTTGGTGGAATTGGAATTGGCGGATCCTGCAATATAACCCACCCAAGATAAACTAAAGATTACACGCAGAACCATAAAAAGTATATTGATAAATAAATCATTTACACATAATCCTCATTATTCTTTAGCATTGTTTGTGTCTCCGCGGCCCCATTTTCCTGGGGTTTTTGGCAAAGTGAACTTTGCTGCTCAATCGACCCGCGAATAGTGTAATGAGAAGTTCCATGCAACGAATCGCTGTGCTTATATTTAAGTGCGTTTTGGCGACAAATGCCCAATCTGTTGGATTAATTGTGCTTTCATTGAGTGGGATGTTTAGATACTTTAGATTCGGATACATACTTGGACAAGAAAGTCAATAAATCCTGTCGATACTGAGATGTTAGGATGGCATATAAATATGGATCCGCACACGAATTCAAGGGATAAAAGAAGACTAGTAATATTTTCGATTTTGTAACATTAATCAACGGGCACCCAGCTAATGCAGTAAGACCAAAAAAAGCAATTGGCGCCCCACAAGTAAAATTAATAAACACCTGTAAAAGAAGAAAAGCGCCCAATAATTTAAAATGAGTTGAGGTTTCGTTAAATGTTAAGGATAAACTCACCAAAAGTGACATTTTCTTAGCAACACTCATTTCGCCGTGATTGTTGCGTCGTGCACGACGCGTTTCTTGCCCGAGAGAAAGATATATTTGTGAATAGCATATGGCAATAATTGTGAACGCCACAAAATTGCAACCCAATATCAATATCAAATATATGGAATCGTATATATCGCGTATCTCCATTGGCAGGCAAATACTAAATGAAGTTACATTAAAAACAAACAATAAAAAAATAAAATGCAGTCGAAAACACCTCACCTGGTAGATGAATAATTACTGATACCAAACAATGGCAATGAAGACATAATTATGGAGTAAATCCAACCCGTTAGCATAATTCCAGCAGCCTGACGTAATGTAATACGCTTATTTAGGTACATCGCATGCGTGATGGCAAACCAGCGTTCAATTGTAATAATAGTCAAAGTAAAGATCGACAAATGACTGGCGAACACGGTTAAAAAACCGGCTATCTTGCAGCCCAATCCTGTGTAAATGATACAATAATTATCTAAACACTAATTCACATTAGAGAACTACTAACCGTACTGCCAATCAAATGCATAGTTAAAATATTCGCCCATTGAATGTGCATCAATTGAAGCGATAAGCAGTAAATAGAGGCCCAAACATAAGTCGGCAAAAGCAAGGTGACATATTAGGAAGCGTGGCACTGATGGACTCTCTGATCTTTAAAAAAATATTTGATGATGAAGAAATTCAAATAAATTAAATCATTCACGGGTAAACTTACTTAATAGATAGGGTGACAGTAAGAACCGCCAAATTACCAACAATAGCTAATGCAACTACAATCCAAACAGCTATTCGCAGCCACTGATATCCCATGACGTCTTCACATGGATTTAGGGCATTTGGCATGGGATAACACTGGATATCTGGGTTTCTGCATTCAAAATTTTACTTTAATAAAAAGCATTAACATAATAAGAAACGCTTACCTAAATGTGAAGTTTCCGCAATACTCAGCCAATTGGTTGTCATCTGGATTTATTGTAATCTGCTCATGAAAAATTCCAATGTTGTTCATTGTAGAATCAGCCATGTAGTCATACAAATCGGAAGCAGCGTCAGTCAGTAGATTATCTGTAGCAGTTCCACTTTGGTTTCTATAAAGGCCTATAAATATTTGGTTAATAAGAGCTATTGATCAAACGTACGTATAATGCACTCCTGCCGTATCTTTCACGGATGTGTTTTTTTTTAGCTTCTTGTCGAAATCCCGATGTAAGTCCCGGTCACCATTGCATTGTTCTCTCCATTTTTGTAATTCCTGTAAGCGTTGAGCGTGCCTCTTGGGATCATGCCTCGACGGGTATTGAAAAGCACAGCAATGGAATGAGTGCGTTAAGTGGGCTCTCTGTAAGTTCTGTAATAATAAATGAGTAAAAGAGAAAAAAAATGTGTTGATGTATATACCTGAAAATTGTATATGGAGGGTATCGTTTTCAAAGTATGCGTATTGATTATGTATAATACTTCGACGGTCTGTAGTCCAGCTGATGGCAAGCTGACTAAAGATGTGCTTGAGAGATCTCTATGGTTAAGTGGAAGTACGCATATCACTGTTGGTATATTTTAATGCGAAAAATTTAAATTACTTACAGTTCTGTTATATCAATTATACCGTAAAATGCATTCGGGTGAACGTCGCTAAGCCTGCGATTATCCTTCAATGAACTGTAATATGTGTTATACAAAAAGTTATTATTTAAAATCTTCTTGGCAATAAACTTACAGTTTAGCTATTTTCGAACCCAAAAAGGCAGAATCATCAATGAAATTTATGTCGTTATTTGCTAAAACACTTATGAATAAAAACTGTGCAATTATTTTGGGCAATATCAATATAAATTTTTACTTACAATTGTGCAGTCTTTACTTGAATAGATTTTGAATCAATTCGAGAAATTTGATTGTTATCGAGATCTCTATATGCATAAATATATATCAATGTTTAGTTTAAAGTTATTCAATTTATACAGAAATAAAACAATTCCATCATATGGGCACTTACATCATTTGTAATATATTATTGGGGGGTAAATATCCAAAATCGGGCACACTTGTTAAACCACTATTTATAATGCGTCTAAATAAAAAGGTTAATTTACAATTAAAGGTATATATATAGCTTTGAACTTTACATTTTCGAAAACAGCTATTATTTCTTGTTTTAGGTATATGAAGGATGGTGGGGAATCTAAATAGTGAAATATAATTGTTCTGCTAATATAACTAACATTCGAAAACTGACATCTCTGAGATGAATAGAACTGTTGCTGAAAATCGATATAATTAGATTTTGAAAACTGTAGGTGGAGTCAATAAATTAAAGCAAATGAAATCCCAATAGGCTATACGATTCATTGTTTGAGTCTATTACTTTCATTGTCTTTGATATCTCGCCACGGGCATACAGACGGTCATATTAGTGGACATATGGACCTGGTATGAAGACAGCTCGGAGTTAATGATGATCAAGAATATTAATTGTCAATGATTCATTTTGGTTCAGTATTACAAATTCGCAGAGCTCCATTGTACAAAGTTATATCTTATAATTGGTACAGACTCGAAATATATATCTATATTCAGCTTGCTTGTTTAATATACGTAAATATCTATGTATATGAATATAGTATGCTTATCACCTGTAAAACGACAGCTTATGATTTAAGCCTCTCACCAAACTACGAGACTTGCAAACATACATGAATTTTTCTTATGTTGTGATAAGACAATTATTTCTAACGCTTGTTAGAATGTATGTCCTCGCGATATAAGGATTTTTACTTACATAATTTCAATAGTGTCGGAAATTCCCTCAAATACATTTTTGGGTAGGTAAGTTAGTTTTGGAGCATTTGAAATATAGCTATAAATAATATAAAATGGTTATTCACGATATACAGTATATGTAATGGTAATTTACGATTTACAGTATATATAATGGTAATTTACAATATAATGATAATGTATGATAAACATTGCTTTCACATAGACATACATGGTGCGGAGAACTGTCAAGTTTGAGAAAGCTCCGTTCTGTATAGCTTCAAGTTGCAGACAGTCTATAAAGGCACTGCAAAGAAACAAATATGGCACATGTATTGTTTTTAAATATGTACATTTAATTTATAGGATTTTAGTATAACTCACACATCCAATAATGTGGTAGCATACACCTTCAAACCCATCGACCGCAACCGTGGCAAGCCCGCTGATGCAATTGTGAGCCTTGGTAGAGGCAACTTTAATGTTTGTGGCACACGTGTCAGCGCTTCGCCCTCGCATCGGCACTCAAACTCATTCTGTTAAAAAATACAATTTTATAAAATACATTAAAAAGTTACACGGCTTAAAGCAAATATTTTTTATTGGAATTATTAAATGCTTATGCAATCGACTGGCACTTACCTGATTAGTTGCATCCCAGCAGCAACACTTCCAAACGGAAGCATCACTCGTCGGATTCGTTGACATGATTGGCGCCTGTGTCATTATGTCGGACATATCAGTTTCATTACCATTATCAATCGACAGATTATTAAAAAAACTATTAAAACCGTTGTTGTTATCATGACAATTAGTATTTGCTTGATGGGTGGCATGGGCCAGTGAAAGCAAAATGAATGTTAAAAAATCAAACTGGGATATTATTATCATGCACTTCATTTTTGTTCAAGTACACACTCAATATAATTCTTATTATTTTGAAGCTTTCCTTTCCTCGGCTCAGTGTAGCTATATGTGCTAGTTTTGTCAGATGTCGTCAGTTGGTTCATTTTGTTAGTTGCACTATAGTGCGACTAGGTGTAAATTCATTGCTCCGCTAAAACGGTTGTTCAAAACAAAAGAAAAAAATTATTTTGCTTTATTTTAGTGTATACCATTAGCCTAGTTATAATTAGTTAAGAAACATTTCTAAGTTTTAATTTTCCGTATAGTTTGACAGTCATTAGGCTCGAGTTCATACATAGTATAATTACACACATATATATATATATATATATATATATATATATATGAACTCGAGCCTAATGTCTGTCAAACGAATTCACAAAACAGAGCCTGAAAAATGTTGCACCTATTGATGAAGTTGTGAATTAAAATTTCACGTATGGCGACGACATGTTTGATTGACTTTTCAATTTATATAGTTATGATTCGATTCCGTGAATGTTGTTTAACATGCAAACTGTGACCGAAATCGAATATCTTCACTATAATTATAAAAGCAAACAAGGCTATGCAAGTATTTTGCCTAATAGAACGATAGGGGTGTTTGAGACACGACTGCCGTCAGCTTTTGACATGATTAACCTTTCCTATTTTTACCATTAAAATTAACTTAGAGCGGAAGTAGACAAATTAAATCTCATAAGATTTATCCGCTTATGTTATACGTATTATATTTACACGCATGTTAGATAGTTTTATCATTATAATCCCAAGCAAGACAAAGGCAAACTGTGCATATTTAACAAACAAATATTTGTTAATTAAAAATGTAGAAATAGACACATAAATGTCGGCATCGCTTTCATTTATTTCTTTATTTTACTGAAAAAAAAGCTCTATTGCTCTTAATTTTCTACTTAAGTACACAAATATTCATGAAGCCTTTGAGACTAAAATGATTTAAGTCGCAGATTTCCTCCGCTAGGCAAACTATTGATAATTATTATTATTATGAATAACTTATTTTTATTACATCAGTTAAATCCGTAAAATTCAACATTCGTAGACATGATTTTTAAAACAGAACTTATACAAAATATGTTCACGTAAGCAACTTGATTTGTAGTAGCTTTGGATTTTTATAGAAGTATAACACTTACCACTACTTTATTCATGTACATTATTCACGATTTTATAATTCAGTATTGAAGTCAATAAATTTTAAATGCCTCGCCGTAGCCGAAAACTATGGTTGGATTTCATTTACACTTGACCTCCGCTGACCAAAGTTTATGTGGGAAGTGCAAAATTGTGGATATGCACATGCCGATTTTGTATTTTGTCTATGAAACTTTCTTTAATTCTTGTTCAGTTATTGCTTGCATATTAATTAATTCGAGTGCTCTTATTTAGATGCTAATGTATTAAATTACACAGGCGTTTCTATTAATCGCAGTTATATTAAATTACAGATTTTTACTGCTGCCTGACGCAAGAAATTTTATACAGCTCTTTATGCACAATTTTGGTATCTCTCTTAACTTTCGTCTCGGACCGTTTTACCGTAGCCGACTTTATACACCTGTTGAATAGCCACAACTGAAATATCTGATTAGCAAGAGCAGCTTCAATGGAAACCGGAAATCGGGAATATAAAAATTGCAGAGGCGCTACACGAAATCGTCTATATATATCAAAGCAAGCCGAGTGATGAAACCGAGCGAACGCTGAGAGCACATCCAACCTATTACGGCTTGTATATGTTGAGAAAATAAGCTCTTAAAGCTAAGCAATGCACGACTCCAAGGCTTTCGATTTAAGCTTTCAGTAGGTGTATAACTTTTACTGTTGCTTTGGTAAAAGCTTTCGTTTTCATGGGCCTACTTAGTAGCCAGCTCCGTCAGGGTAGCTCAAATAGTATTGCAATTTGTACATGCTTAAAAGCCTTTAACATAGTGAGCTTTTAAAATTCCAAATTTCAAATAAGTATCCCAAATAAGAATCACAAATTTTGAACGAAGCGCAAAACAAAATCATCATCAATCTGAGCAGCAGCACTCATTTACAAAAATTTTAACTGCTATTATTTTTGGTTTAATTGCTAATACAATTTCCATGATGAATGTGAATTTCCAGTTTAAGAAGGATCACTCATTTGAAAAGCGACGAGCAGAAGGGGACAAAATACGCAGAAAGTATCCTGATCGCGTACCTGTCATCGTGGAAAAGGCACCAAAGACACGTCATGCAGCTCTGGATAAAAAAAAATATTTGGTTCCTAATGATCTGACAGTTGGCCAGTTCTACTTTCTTATCCGTAAACGCATTAATCTTCGACCGGACGACGCTCTGTTTTTCTTCGTTAACAGTATCATTCCTCCGACATCGGCTTCAATGGGACTATTGTATCATGAGCACCGTGATAAGGACTTTTTCTTGTATATGGCTTACTCCGATGAGAATGTCTATGGACATGAAAAATATGAGACGTAGTTTGTAAATGCTGCTAAATTATCTTCTGGAATGGTTAACAATTCAAAGTGTTATCTGGTTTACAAAAATTGCAGTCTTTCAATAAAATAGTTTGTGATTAGAACAATTTTCTAGAGCAGTTAAATCACAACTTTAATAAGGTTTATATTATGTATCGGTATTTCTAGTTTTTGGTGCTGGTTTTGCGACAACTTCAGAGTCTCAAACGCATAGTTTTATTAAGATTTATGAAAATTCCTGTATATTTTAAAGGGGGTTTTTACAAATTCACCTTATACTATTTTTACCTATGGTATTTATAGTTTAGTGTAAAAATGTAAAAATGTATATTTGCAAACAATCAAACTAGGCAACCACAAGTTAATAACGAGCTATATGAGCATTATTTAGGTACGCCACATATTTAAATTAACTGTAGGAAGGTTTGGGTCATCGCAACTTATTAGCCTATTACTGCAATGAGATGATTTAAAATGGGGTTAATCGCTAATCGGCTAATCATCGAAATTATCGGCTTACCCAGGAAAGTCGGCGAGTACAAATCCAGCCAAAGGCACCGAATGTAAAGTCAAGTGATCGGCATTATCGCAGATCAAACGTCCAATGGTAGCCTTTCGCACTTCCTGCAGCTGAGCTGGTCTAAATGCTGCTGGATTTACCTTATCGTTATATTCGTAGTAATACCTATCTCCATGCTTAAAACGAGAAAACTGATCGGCAATAATTTCCGCAAAAGTGATCCCAACGATACCATCTTCAACAGATTTTTCCAGTAAGCCGCCTACCCATAAATCAATGTCATCAGGCGTCCTATAGACCCGAGAAAGTTTTTCGCCAATCTAAGAAGATTCAATAACGTTGAGATATTTACATCTAGAAAATAAACGCCAAAATACTCACATCCCTTGGAAGCTGGCCAAAATGTTTCAGCTTTGGAGCTCCCATTACTTCAAGGTAGTCATTATAGCAGCGCAGGCCCTGGTCGCGACCCCGTTGTATATTTATTGCGGCCAAATCTAATCCAAACGGACTGTGGCCGCGAAAGAGAAACCTACTGAGCTATGATTTAAGGAAATTAATGCTTGTTGGCCATTTTAATAATTTTAATACACTTACACCCTGTGTAATAGAACTGTCGACTTGTTGCATTGGCTGCGTGTAAAGTGTTTGTAACATATCATCGTAGAACTCGCGCTTGCGCATACGAGAAGGGTTAAACATAACATCCGGAATATTAATCACCTCATCTTGTATTCGAAATTTGCCGTCGACACTAAAGACAAAAGTTAGTAAAGATTATGATTAATTTAGTTTTTTTTAAGATATTTTACACAGTATAGTCTGTATTACTTGCCTAGAATGACCCATTCGAAAAGCAGCTCCCGAGAACTCATTAGTAATAGCTGGATTCACATCAACGTTATAGTCGGTTGAATATCCCTGTTGGTGAGGCATCAAACGAAACCTTTTCATTTGCTGGGATCCAATAACTGCCGGGAGGTACTCATTATATGTAATGTGCTGTAGCTCTGCAATAACAATGCGGCGAGCCTCTTGATAAATCCATTCGTCGTTCGCCGTCGGATTTAATTCAGCCAAGATATCGGCAACGCGATTATGTTCACGTGCAAAAACAATTTGCAGGGTGATCAGAGATATAATTTGATTTGTGCGACCATCGCCTTAAAACACGGAATTACATATATATGATTGTTATAGTTGACAATCCAGATCCACTCACCTGACTTAAAACACGTTTTGCCCGTGTCCGCGCTGCCACACGCATCCTTATCACTGGTTAGGGGCAGCAAATCACGACCAAAATCATTAAACATGTGTAATCGGCCGCCATGGAAAGAGCGCAAGTCACGTGCGGACGCCTCATTAGACCCATATATGGGCGAGGCATCTAAGAAGTGGGTAACCTTGCTCCGTTGCTTTCCATAGCTCAACTGACAGTCGGCACTGGGCACAAGTGATAGTCTTACCAAGTTCAAACAGCGCACGCCAAACGCGCTATAAAACTCATCGTTTTCGGATACCGGTATCGGCAGACAGGCAAAATGCCTTTTTTCTGGGGGCAAAATGCTTTTGCCTCCCGGCGAACAACATTGCACCAAGCCACCATTTTCATCGAGACGCACCGAAGCCGATTGTGAAACATCATGGGCCAATAATTGCCCAAATTGCATTATCAACTGGTTGTACTTTGGGTGGGGTCGATGAACATCGGCAAATAGAGCGCTAGAAATTTCACGAGCGCTTAACAAAGCAGTTCCATCGCTTGAATGAGAGCGAGGAGTCCAAATCCCATCTTCGTAGGCTGGGGGAAGCAGCCGCTCCATTGGCTGGCCAGCAGCACCCCAATGTGAACGTTGGGGGAGCGGATTATTGCAAGTGCCATCCATACTCCGAAAATGGTGTCTACCTAGGCAAATGGGTTGTGTTTGGCAATGCTGAGCCAACGGTGTCTTTGAAAATTTTATTGGCACATTGTTTGTGATCAGGTCATCAAGCGTCACCTGTTCCTTCTTGCCAAACACTTGACTGGCAATTACCAATTCAAGCGCACTGTTCGACAGTGCAAAGTTATGTAAATCTTCTTTTGGTGTGGATTGAAAAACCATACCATGAGTAAAATCTGGATGCCCACGAAGGACCGGCATTTGGACAACTCCGTGCATTAAATGCTCAAAATTCTTGCGTGCTTCTTCAAGCACATCAGGTGGCAAAAATGATGGAATCGCTGCTCGGCGTGCCTTATTTTGCTGCGCCGTGTGATTTTGTCCAGTTTCGCAGCAATAGCCAAATTTGCCAGCGGGCAGATCGCAAATTTGTGGCTTCTCGTGGTCCCCCATGCGGACATGAGCGGGACATTGAATTTGTGGTACACATTTTACAGATGTGCAAGTCTTACACATTTTAAGCAATCCACTTTTAGCGACATCTGCAACATATATAATACATGTATGCATACATCATTCGAACTGTATATATATGTAAATGACTTTATGCATGTCACATGCATACATACATATGAATTTCTTTGCTTATACTTCTAAGCAAAATAATTTATATGTATGTATGTATGTATGCTAATACATTAGTGTCCAACTTGACCGTCAAAAGTATACGATAGAGTGAGATAACCATAATTCAAAATGGAACTGTTTATGAATCCGCCATTATTTATTGGATGTTAGTACGAATACCAAATGTATGTATACCTTAACCTTTTAACAACTTAGACCTTATAACGTAACACCTGATCTTACCCGCATCGTGACTGTGCCCTTCCACACCATTCAAATCATTTTTGCGTATCGAAAGTGCGCCAACAAAGTTAAATAGTGCAAGTACATGCACAAGATGGCAAAACATTAACAAAACATATAATCTCCGCATTTCAGTCGACCCCGAATACTTGATTAGATGTACAATAACAGGAAATGAATTTAATTCAACTATATAACGGTGCTTCTTTAATAATGTGACCACGTACGGTAAAGTTGAATATACCTCAAGAGGAAAGAATACCGAAAATATAGCATTGTTTAAATACTTGAAAACTTTCATTAAAAATACTATCCCCACTTTGTATTATGTTTGTATATGTTTTATGATGAAGTAAGAATATTTAGTCTTTCCCCTTATATATATGTACCCAAGGCAATTGAGTTATAAAGTTTCCAATTGATTGGACGGACAGTGCATTAGCTCATTTACTGCTGTTCAACACAACATAGAAAGTTACATATTAAAAAAGCCTAGCTTCGGTTTATTTTTACCGATATTAAATACTCGATATTGTTAAAATGGATAGTTAAAAATATCGCCTCAGAAAAATACAAAATGGGAAATCTTAATATCGATAGTATCGAGATGAGCTCAATATTTCTTAATGCACTATCCGCCATATTTGTTCGCGTCACTAGAGAAGTCTGGCAACGCTTAAAATCGCTTTGTATAGGGCCAGTTCGTCATGTTGAGAAATTACGAAAAATAAGTGAAATACACTGTATAAAAAGGAAAAAGTGTAAAGATTATATGAATACATTTTCGAGCTACTAACTCAGTGTGTATTTAATAACTACCAGGTGTTTTTATTGTGCTCGACGGTTATGAATGGTTTTTTTCGGCAGACAAAACTTGCATACAGTGTAATGTTCGTACTCGTACCGAGCTTGTCTTCTCACGCGAGTTCGTTTTTAGTGTATATAGCAAGTCTATGGACGGTCGATGCGTGAATATATTTCTATGTGTAAGTGTGGGTGTGTACATGTGTGTCGATTAGTTCAGAAAAAGACTTAAATCACCAATAATTTACCGGACTCGTTTCACTAGCGAGTGAAAAGTACAAGCTCTATAAGTAAAAATCAAATATGTACATACATGCAGGCTCAAAGTTCGGTACGGTACAGATACGTGTGTGTGTATACTTAAAATATTAAATTGTCAGCCACATCCTTGCATCATCACTGCAGGGTCACATTTTCGCCAATATGTATCAATCTGAACTTACCAGCCAAAGCACTAAACCAAAAAGATAATCATGCAAAAAAGTTTAAAAAAAATAAAAGAAAAAATAAAAAGAAACCTTCAATGAAGCCTAAACGAGATGACGACAACGATAAACGTCAGCAGCAGCGAGCAGTGCTATTACACCAAACGAATGAAAAGCTACCTGAATTATTAAATATTTACGTAAATATATAAATTGAGAGTGAAATTCATAGTAATGCAATAAAATGAACCTATTAAAAATTACCAAAAACAAATTGTTAAAAACGCGACAGCAAAACTCGTTTTGTTCTCACATTCGGCGTTAAAATTTATATGAAACAGCAGTGGTTGTCTCGCTCTTACACACTTATTTGACATACAAAAAGGCCGCATACAATACAAGCGAGATAAATAGCACTCCAAAACAGAAAATCAACGGGAGCGCGCAAAAAATCCAAAAGCAAATTATATGAAAAGTGAACTCCAAGTGGATAATGAAAAATGTATAAAACAACTGCTGCAATTGTACCACCAGAAAGCTGTATGCACATTGATATTTAATGGGATGAGTAGCCTTTTGCCTTACATGACTGTCTTTTATGCACACATACTCTTTAACATGCATATGTATGTTAAGCGCAATCTTGTGGTCTAGCATTATGAAAATGGTATTTGTCGGTCTATATTTTCTAAAGATAAACATAAATACATAGTCTATTTCTAAACCACATATTGTGATCGACATGACTGACCGAACAGGTATGGGAATATCTGTATGGAATTCGTGTGCAATAAATATCAATTTTGTCTGCAGTTGCTTTTGAATTTGCAATTTAATTCACTTGGATTTACAAACATTTTTGAATTTTGTATATCAGTAAAATATAAACGGTAATCATAGAATGTTGAAAAGCCTTTATTTCATATAACTTAAATATTTTAATAACAACTTCTATATTAAAACATTGTGTGGCTATATTTATAGTTCTGTAAAATAATTGATCAGATACAATTTAATAAACTGTATTAATGTTCATTTAATGTTTTGTTGCACGTGTTCCAAACAAAAATAGTATTCTTCAATATTATTCCAATAATTCCTATTCGACGTATAAAATAAATATAATTAATTAATAATTTACTTCCCCTATTAAACAAAACTAATACAGGCATCCCATACGCGCACATGTAAGTGCGACAGTGAGAGCCACACTCTCATGCAAGTGAGATGGCGTTTGCGTGTTTAGTTGCCAAATGTAAAGAGCGCAAGAGAGAATCCAGAGAGCGCTCTGTGGCTGTCAACGCGCGACAATTTGTAAACGGACAGTCAGAATGCTGTGGTAGTGGTAGTTGATTTTTCAATACACAGAATGTAGAATTACAAAATCTTTGGCGGCCAAATGAAATACGTATAGAGCCTGTGATTGTCCTATGGTTAGGATTTTGTGAGCCTTGGTGCTATTTATATTGTATAATTTGAGCTAAGTAAACTAATTATTGTTTTTAAAAATTGCAGCTAACATAACCTCAAACTTGCCGCTGCAGTCGGGGAAGTCGTCATCAGCGTCAACGTTGTTGGTGGATATTCTTCAACAACAACAGCTTCTTGATTTAATAAGCATCGTTTGCGAAACGAAGACGCCATGAATGACAAAATAAAATCGCCATCAACACAAAGTAGTGGTAGCGGTGCGACTGGTGCAAGCGCATCCCCAACTGTGGCAGCCAGTTCAGTTGGCGCTACACCACCTACCGCGGGCCCACCCACACCGAACAACGGGAACGAATCTATTATACAGCAAGGTGGCACTGTACCGCATCCGTACAGCGGGCCGCCGCCTGGCGCTCTGCCAGGCTCAACTCCCGACTCAGCAACAGCTATGTCACACTATCACCATTTACATCAACAACAACAGCAGCCACAGGGGTCGCCTCTTCCACCACACATGCAGCACCACGGTGGACCACCGCCACAACAGGGACCACTACCGCTTCCACCCGAGCATACACCTGGTGTGAAGGATGAATATGGTTCGGCACATTTGCCACCGCCACCCGGCGTCCAACATCCCCATGCACATCCAGCCTACGCGCGTTATCACTCAGGTGATCCCAACATAGATCCCTATCGATATGGGCATGCGCCCACGCAGCAACCACCTCCTGGGGGCAAAACGCCGCACCAACAACAACAGCCGCAAGGCTCTGGGGGATCCCCGAATCGACCCCCACAACAGCGGTACATACCCGGTCAACCGCCGCAGGGGCCAACCCCAACCCTGAATTCATTACTGCAATCGTCAAATCCGCCGCCACCGCCCCAGCATCGCTATGCGAATAATTATGATACCCAGCAAGTTGCCAATGCGGCAGCGGCTGCCGCAGCCCAACAGCAGCATCAACAAAATGTTCAGCAACAACCTGGAGGACCACCGCCTCCACTACCAACTCATGGACCGCCGCCACCACAACACCAGCCGTACGGTGCACAACAGGGCGGGTGGGCACCACCCCCAAGGCCCTACAGCCCACAGCTTGGCCCATCGCAACAGTATAGGACACCACCACCGGTAAGTTGAGCTCTTATTAACCTTAAATTGTAACTACGCGCGATGCGTCTATAGGTTTGCAACACATTGACACACTTAACAAATCTCGCTTATATCCGAGGTACAAACTTTAAAGAAGAACGCACGAGTTGTGGGAAAATAATAACAATAAAGCATTAAAAGGTATGGTGTTGGCAGGAGAAGTTACCGGTACCATAACCACCTGATGAAGCAAGCAGAAGAAAGGCTGCATTTACATGTACATGTCTGTTTGTGTGTGCTATATTTGGATATTTAGATTTTGTTTTGTTTATTCCTGAATTTTATTTAGTTAATGATCTGATTGGGTACGGTGATTTACAATTATAAATTTAAATAACATACAATTGTTGTTAAGAGTAATTTCTAAGAAATTATTCTTACAATATTTTCAGTTATTTACAACATTTTTTTGAGTGACGCTATTAGAGCCTACCTCAAAGCGGAAGGTTGTAAGTAGGAAAAAAGTGTTCTCAAGTAAAATGAAAAATAATTTGAAATATTAATAAAGAAAATACAATAAATAGGAAAAAAGAGAGTAAGATTGTTAATAAAGTACAGCAATGTAAGTTAGATAAAGAGTGTTAAGTAGATAGGACAAAGAGAAAAGTAATGGGAAATCACCGACCCGGTGGGGGAAAATTTTTCAGCCTGTCCGGCAACTATGCTGGATATATATATATATATATATATGAAGTACATTTTAAAAAATTCATTTAATACGCTGTGATTGATTTTATATTTATTTATAGACCTTGAGGAATATTTAAATATGATTTATGCAGATACTCCTAAAAGTTTTTGTAACAAACATATATTTTTACATATGTCCCTTATGAATATACCCATGTACGACTTGAACTTTTCTCTTATTTTGTTATATGTATGCAAATCTACACGTTTCCTTATTACCTTTACTCATAAGATGCAAAAAGGGTGGTCAGGTTAACAAGTTATCGTACCATATACTGTGTAAATTTATGAATAGCTCTTTAAAAGTTACTTGTGTTTTAAACTTAAAATGTTCCAGTTATCAAAATAGATACATTTTTTTAATTAACTTGCACATAATTCTGAAAATAATTTAAACTCATTAAATGAAAAACAAAGAAGTTTCACACAACAGCCATTTACCCATGTTCCCAATATTCCAATATACCTATATATCAAAACTGGTAGTAAACGAATTGATTTTTTGTAGATATAGGTTTAAAAAATAACATACTATGCACTCAAATCTCTAACAGAAAGTGTAATCAATAGCTTGCACCTATGTGGACAGGACAAGTGAGTGCATGTACTTTTATTTAATTAGCCGCTCTTATCTACAACGTTTAAATACGTACGATTGTTATATGTTCATGCTATTAATCATATATTTCAGTTAGATCACTTTCACTTATTTCTTTTATGTTTCGTTCTGTTATTGTAATTTCAATCCGGACCGGCTTAACTTTGCACTAGTAAAGCGACACTCAGGAAATACAGTTCTTTTGTCTTGCTTTGGCTAGCCCCTGTTACACACAAACGTTATTTACTCCGTTGCGCTGGCGCTCGTTTGATTCCATTCGTTCCCTCATTCATTCGCTGTCTTCGTGTTGACAGCAATAAGACAGCTTGCGACCCTTACTGCATGAATTTGAGTTCCACTTCACCCTGCTTAGCTGCCGTATATATTTCTGAATTTGATTTTCATGATGAGTTTTCCCTTTTTAGTTTCTTCTCCTCTGCTTCAGAGTTCACTATATGTATAGGGTCAAACGCAAGTAGATGTCGGTATGTAGCAAAACCATCCATTCATGTTCCCTGTCACCTTCTAGTTGACCAGCCACCGTTGCTGGTTGTCCTGCCGGTTTCAGCGCACGCACAAATGCAAAAGGCGATCGTTGCCAAAATCGCACTTCAGCTTTATTCCCAAAATTTACTTCGCCATGCCATTTGCAATAATACGACGACTTTGCATGAGGGTGTGGATGGATAACGTTGAACTGTTCGTCTCTTCGCTTGTCTTCTGCCTTCATGAATTTTATACTTCAAATTTCTCGATTCTTGTAACACTATCAGGTTGAATCAAAATCTTACATGTTTGCCTTGTCTTTTTGTCTGCTTTTAACTTCAGGCACACTATGGCAATTGCATTATTGAAATGCACATTTTTAACTGTCAATCTTATTCTATTCTATTTTCATATATATATAGTTTTATAAATTCATGCATAACTGTCGTAAATTTTACATAAGTGTAAATTCTTGTTTCGTGTGTAAAAGAGCTTACGGAATTGATTGTGAAAAATTAATTAAAATAATATAATGCAAGGTTATGCAACACTCAACAAAAATATGTACCAGATTGGCTCTGTTTTGCTCTCCGTTTGTATTCAGTTCTGACTGATAAAATATAATATGCTACAAATTTAAATCATTGTATATAAACGTATACGCACATCGAGTGTTTCAAAGAAATTGAATAAAACAGGAATTTATTTGTTCAATTTATAGACAAATTCTTCCAGAGGTCAATCACCATATCCGCCAGCTCACAGTCAAAACTCAGGTTCCTATCCAAGTTCGCCCCAACAGCAGCAGCAGGCCCAACAGCAACAACAAGCTACACAACAGACAGGTGTTACCGCTCCTGGAGCGCCGGTGCCACCACCTGGCCCCTCACAGCAACAGCAGCAGCAACAAAATACACCGCCCACTTCTCAATATTCGCCGTACCCTCAAAGATACCCAACACCTCCAGGCTTACCGACGACTGGGCCCAATCATCGAACTGCCTACACAACGCACCAGGTATGAAGCATTTTAAATCAATATTATATTAATTTGCTTGCAAAAATACTAGCGGCTCTGAACTTACATATGCCGTATACGTATAAAAAGTTGGAAAAATACAATTTTTTAAATTTTATTTACGATCAAAATCTCGATATTTTTTTATACTTTTAGTATTCCGAACCTAACCGACCATGGCCGGGTAGCTCATCTCCTAGTCCTGGTCCAGGCCATCCATTGCCGCCTGCCTCACCGCATCATGCACCACTCCAACAACCGCCAACGCCGCATAGCGCTGGTGGGGGCCCGGCACCTAGCAGCAGTCCAGGGCATGCACCGAGTCCATCACCGCAGCCCTCGCAGGCTTCACCATCGCCACACCAGGTAATTATTTTGTAAAAACATATTACTCCTTCTACTTTCAAATCAAGATGCAACAATGGGTTCTTAATAGTGCTCACCAAACGATATCGAAGTACGCATTCTTAACTGGTACGCGCTATCAGCGTACGGACCACGACAGCAACTTTTATGTTGGCGGACTCTCAATTTTTATACCCATTAAAAATGAACCCATTAAAAATGGGTATAAGGGTATATTGTATTTGTGCAAAATCCAAATGTATGTAACAGGCAGAAGGAAGCATCTCCGACCCCATAAATATATATTCTTGATCACCATCAATAGCCAAGTCGATCTAGCCAAGTCCGTCCGTCCGTATGTATGAACGCAAGGATCTCAGAACCTATAAGAGCTTGAGACTTGAAATTTTAGATGTAGGTGCTCCTACGGCCTGCGCAGATTCAGTTTGTTTCCGATAATCGATAACTTACTCCGTTTCCAAACAATCGATAAAATTCTATATCGATATCCTGTTTTTTGGTCAATTTTGGTAAATAATAAGAGCTAGAGTCACCAAACTTGACATATAGGTTCTAAAATAGAATATATATATGCATTTGATGTTGGAAGAAGAGGATTCAGGGTATCCCCTAGTCGGGAGCTCCCGACTAGAACCTCTTGTTTGTTTATTTTCTAGAGAGGAGTCAGTATGCATGCGTAGTACCCCATTCATTCATTTAAAATGTCCGTAATGGTCGCCGTTGCGCTGCCGTCAACATGTCTCATACCACTTTTTGCTCATTTCCTTTATGTTGTTGTAGTGTGTGCACAAATACATAGATAAAATACAAATACACTCAAGATCTTACAAAGAGCAGCTGTTTTCATATATGTATGCATTTGGGTCAATGCCAAGGTTGTTGTTGCTTGCGGGCTGTTCACTTGTATATATTCCGTGCTAACAACGCAGACTAAATTTACTCGTGAAGTTTAGGCTTTAAGGAAATCACTTTCTTTTATACGGGGGTTCAAGGAGAACCCGTAATAATAAGCACATAGTGCTAAAACGTATCTCCAGTGTTGCCATTGTAGGAATTTTTAACAGAAAAATTCGAATTAATTAATAATTATTATTTTGGATATTTGAATAATTTCGCTTTGTACTTTAAATTTACGGAATAAAATAATTTTTTAATGCATTTTCTAAACTGCACGTATTATATCCCTTATCATGCTTTAGTTATTTATTCAAAATTCTTTAAAACGAACAAATTTTAAAAATTATGATATTCATTTTGTTTTCTTCTATTCCAATCTTCATTCACATTGACTTACTATTTGTTTTACTCATCAAGTGGTACCCGTTAACACAAGTAAATACATAAATTTAAAAGCAGACACAAAAAGGCGCGCACACACAGAAATAACTAATGAATTTTCGCCAGATGCGGTAGGGCTTTTTGGTTATAGGAATGACTTTTTTTTGCGCTTTGCGGCAGTTAGGTTGGATGTGATTGCAGTATAACTATACTACAAATTGCCTTTATTTTTTTCGGTCTTGTATTAGGCTAAAATAATAATTAAAAAAATTTTAATTATGAAGTTAAATTACATGCCCCGTAAAACATTAACTTTGCTTTAAAATTTTTTTTTTTAATATTTGTACACTTTATACAATAATGCACTGTACAATAAGAAATGCACAATCGCATTTTTATTATATGTATATTATTTCATTGTGCTGTTCCCGTAGCGGTTGTTTTTCTTTCCAAGTAATTTTTCTACATGCCGGCAAGCGTTTACATATGTACATACCCACTCACACGTAAAAACGTGGGTCGCCTTCATCTTGAGGAGCGTTGCCCCATCGTTCATCGTTTTTTAGATTTGCCTTCTGCTGTCGCTGCCTGTGGTGGCTTTGCTATTCTCGTCATCAACGTCGCAGCCATCGCCTATGCTACTCAAGTATACTCCATGCTTTGCCTCTATTCCCCCAACACATATTTCACCCATACTTGAAGCACTCGACGCTCTTACTTTTTTTCTATGTGTATGGCACGAAAGCGAATGAACAGAGAAACGAGCAAAGAAAGGAATAGCTGGCGCTGTTTTTATTATAATTTTTTTTTTATTATAGTTTAACGTTGAATGTGTGTGGTATACGTGTCTGTGTGTATATATATGTTCACGTTGCTGTTTCTTATCTACGTCTTTGTCATCGTACGTTGGCTCACTCAAAGCGCGCCATAACTACCACTGCCACATCTCCAATCCGCGACCCTCTGCACGCTTTCAAGTTGCAGTCTGCGTCGGCTTCGTCGTTATTCGTTCCACATACATAGCTTTTGCTCTGCCTGCTATTGCTGTTGTTGTTTTTGTTTTGCGCTTTAGCTTTGCCTGTAGCTGTGCCGTCAGTTCGTCGTACATTTCATTTCAGTTCACTTAATTTCTCAGATACCAAAACGAACAGTGTTTTTGCCGTCGCGGTCCCCCCCCCTCATCAACATCATTTATATCGACATTGTTGATCCCGCGCTGTTCGTTTTACTCTGCGACTCGAATTGCTGTCGGCTTAAGCCTCTGTATTTGGCTGTGTCTGCAAACATACATGTGTGTGTATTTACTAGTATATGTACATATGTCTTATTTGTTCTTACTTGGGTTCAGCTTTTTGTATTCTTAGAAAGTTACAACCACCCGTTGAGGATGGAAATTCAGAATCATATTTTTATTTTTGGAATATTTTGGAACTATATTGTTTTCGCAGAGTATGCATGCAAAAATGAATAGATCGTAGTTAAGCAAAATCGAATTTTTAAGCAATTTTTTTGGTACAGGATATTTTTTAAGAAGTGCAGTATTTTATTAATCTCTGCTGATGGGACTAAACTATGGATTTATTACTTTTATTATGTTTCAAGGATTTAATAGAAAAACTGATTCTATCTATATAACACTATTTGTGTCTTTAATATAGGAGCTGATTGGTCAAAATAGTAACGATAGTTCAAGTGGCGGTGCACATAGTGGAATGGGCTCTGGTCCGCCCGGTACACCTAATCCACAGCAAGTCATGAGGCCAACACCCTCACCTACCGGCTCATCGGGCTCAAGATCTATGTCTCCTGCAGTGGGTACGTATATAATGATGCTTGTAAGTTGACCCAGTACTGAATTGGATTTAATTTAGCACAAAATCATCCGATTTCGCGACCAGCGAGTAATCAGTCAAGTAGTGGTCCCATGCAGCAACCAGCAGTGGTTGCTGGCCCACCCCCATTGCCACCACACGGTCTATCGGGTGGGCCATCATCTCAGCAACAATCTCAGCAGCAACAGGCTTCAAATTCAGCATCTTCAGCGAGTAATTCGCCTCAGCAGACGCCACCACCAGTACCGGCGCCAAACCAAAATGTTAACAATATGGCTACACCACCACCACCGCCGCAAGGGGCTGCTGGTGGTTATCCAATTCCGCAGCATATACATGGCAGTTACAAAATGAGCTTGCCGGGTCAAAGTCCCGGCGCGCAGGGATATCCTCCACAACAATATCCTCAAGGTATTTTTCCTTAAACGTAGCACTTGTGAACTCTTATTACAAAATTTTTATTTTACTAGGCAACTACCCGCCACGCCCTCAGTATCCGTCAGGAGCGTATGGAACTGGGCCACAACCTCCTCCAACTAGCCAGCCCGCTGGGGTCGCCAACAGCATGCCATCCGGCGCACAAGCTGGTTACCCTCGATCTATGCCTAATCACGGCAGTGGGAGCCCTCATTCGCAGTATCCGCCCTATCAGTGGGTGCCACCTTCGCCCCAACAGTCTGGACCTGGGAGTGGATCAGGACAAATGGGCACTGGTATGGGAAACCACGTGCAAGGCAAGGGCACACCACCACCAGTTGGACCACCACCACCACAAAGTAGTGGTTCTCCGCGCCCTCTTAATTATCTTAAACAGCATTTACAACACAAAGGCGGATATGGTGCTAACCCAGCCGCTCCACAGCCGCAGGGATATGGCAATGGGCCGACTGGCATGCATCCGGCAATGCCTATGGGCCCACCACATCATATGGGTCCGCCACAAAGTATGGGGCCACCTACTAGCACGCCGCCTCAGTCTATGCTAGGCGCACAGGCCGGAAGTGATACGGAGCATGTATCTCAAGACAATGGCATAAGTTCATCAGCGTCTTCGCCAGCCGCAGCATTGCATGCAGTTACCGCAGTTGTTACAACTGGACCAGATGGTACACCGATGGATGAAGTTAGTCAACAGAGCACACTTTCAAATGCGTCAGCTGGTGGGTACTCTTAAATAAATGTTAAGACGAATAACTGAGCCTTTGTCATGCTACAGCATCAGGCGAAGATCCACAATGTACTACACCAAAGTCGCGCAAACATGATCCATATAACCAAAGTCATTTAGCTCCGCCAAGCACTTCTCCGCATCCAGTTGTAATGCATGGAGGCGCTGGTCCAACGGGCGAAGATTATGAAATGAATTCGCCCCCGAATTGGCCACGTCCAGCCGCTAGTTCGGTAAGCATGTTTTAATTTAAAAAATGTTCAACAAAATGACCCGCTCTTCTATTTACAGCAGGTTTTCAACAGTCATGTTCCTGTTCAACAAGAGCCATTTCGTAGTTCTATTACAACTACGAAAAAATCAGACTCGCTTTGCAAGTTGTATGAGATGGATGACAATCCTGATAGGCGAGGTTGGCTTGATAAACTGCGTGCTTTTATGGAGGAACGCCGTACACCAATAACGGCGTGCCCAACCATCTCCAAACAGCCACTCGATTTATATAGGTTATATATTTATGTAAAAGAACGTGGCGGATTCGTCGAGGTATGCAAGGTGCCGTAGTAACTCCTTTTACTAACTTCTTTTTAGATTTACTAGCAAAACCAAATCAAACCAAAATTAATGTTCAACCAACCAATCAATCAAACCACCAAACACCACAAACCAAAGTAAAAAATTTAGCTAACCCTTAAAAAAAATGATTTCTTTAAATGTGAAACAATCAAAAAACGGTCATACATTTCCCAATAGTCAGTAGCATGACATCCAACCACATTCATTCTGTTTGTAAGACCTGGAAATACTTACCGTCTTTTTTACATCATATGTCAAATGACTCAGAAACATGATAGATCTAATAATTTTCACACTTTTGCATGCAATTTTTGTCAGCATGCTTTTAAAAGAACTTTTCAATATTTACTTTCTACTGAGTGTCAACATTAATTCGCCTTTAAACTTAAGAGGTTCCGTTCAACATTTTATTTTGAAGAATTGCCTTTCAAGTTTGATTTATATTTTCATTACTAATACATTTTCTAAAATTATTGTTGAATGCGTATTACTTAAACGCTTCAATTGCTCGTAATTTATGTATCTTTTATACTTATTAATGATGTACCTGAATAGTCTAACCTGTGTTATTTTCAAATATATACGCATATTTTCGTTGTTGTTGACAGGTGACTAAGAGCAAGACCTGGAAGGATATTGCCGGTCTTCTGGGCATTGGCGCTAGCAGTAGCGCCGCATATACACTTCGGAAACACTATACAAAGAATCTATTGGCATTCGAGTGTCACTTTGATCGCGGCGACATTGATCCATTACCCATCATTCAGCAAGTGGAAGCCGGTAGCAAGAAAAAGACAACAAAGGCAGCATCGGTGCCATCACCAGGTAAGTGTTTACAGATGATACGGTTAGAGGTTAAATAGGCTAGTAACATGGATTTTGTATACTACTAAACAGTTTGCAAATGAACTTAATCTGCTACAATCGGCATCACCTTTTTCCTAATTATCTTCATATTTTATATCAATATAATGTTTCTCCCAATTTTTTCTCACTATTTCTTACAATGCCCAAAAAATTCCAACCAATCGGTGGTGGTCATTTGGACGCTGGAACAACAAATTCTACAGGATCATCAAACTCGCAGGATTCTTTCCCTGCACCACCTGGTGGCGCACCGAACTCGGCAATCGATGGCTACACGAGCTACTCTGGCGCTGGTGCATATCCACCATCTGCTGGACCGCAACCAGATTATGCCACAGCAGGCCAGATGCCAAGACCACCGTCGCAAAACAATCCGCAGGCACCTCATCCAGGTAAGCAATATCATTTATTAAATTAATCTGAAAGTTTCATATATATATATTGTATATATATATATATATATATATGTATTATATATATATATATATGTATTATTAACAATTATTTGCTGTAAGATTATACTTATCCTCTTCAATATTTTGTGTTTTCAATGTTATATGTGTATTGCAAATAGATAACGCATATATATTTTATTCGCCTACAATTTAATTTGAATATTAATTTCATGTGTGTAATTTGTTTATTCATTTTTATGTTGGTTACGTAAATATGGGCGCACTACTATTAAAAATAAAAAATTACAATCATCTGACACCACCAACAACAACACCACATCGCACCACTAAAATTATAAAACAACTTCGACATTGCTCAACCAAACCTTAACTTCTTGTCAACTAAAAATCTTATTACGTTTATACTGTGTCATTCATTAATTTCTTCATCAATCCATAACCATCATCAATGCCGCTTGCCGCTTTAGGCACACAAAATCAAACAGCTGCCACTGTTGCCGGTGATAACATAAATGTGAGCAATCCCTTTGAAGATCCTATTGCTGGCGGTGTGGCCGCTGGTGGTGTTGCTGTTGCTGCAGTTGGTGGTGCGTCACACGGTGCTCCTCCACCGCCCCCACATTCACCGCACTCAGCGCCACAATCGGGCAACCAACATCACCAACAAGGCATTCCAACGCAATTGCCGCCGCCGTCGCAGCAACCACCGGCGCCACCACCACAGCAACATGGGCCGCCGTCTACGCAGCATGCGCGCCCTGGAACTGGAGTACCTTATCCACAGGGTAGCTCTGGGTATCCAACGCCTGTGTCTAGAACGCCAGGTACATTCATCTTGTTTTCTTTTTTATCTTTTGTTATACAAATTATTTTAATGTGTCATTATTTTAATTTGATTGTTAAAACTCTTCATTGGCTTAAGTCTGCAATCGGTCTGCATGTGGGTCGTAGAATAATTGCTTGTGCATAGAAATATTTTACATTGCTTATTTCATTGTATGCCTTATCTGTCTTGTTTACCAATTTCAAAGCAACTTTCTTAAGCAACTGTTGTTAACTATGTGTTTTGTTAAATTTAATTGATTTATATAAGTATAAATATTTATAATTATTAGATCTTTATGCCTATATTCAAAGAAAAAGTGTTTAGTTCTTATGTTTGAGTGCGCTGATAAATTTGATGAAATACTACAAGTCTATAAAGCGGCTCAAATTATTGGTCATCTTGTATAAGGGTACATTAAAAGGTAAAAAGAAAATTATGTAAAATGATGATTGCACAAACTAAAGACAAAACTGTGCTTTTTTTATTGTATTTTAAACTGCGTTTTTAATTAGTAAAAGTCAAATTACATTAAACAATTAGTATTACATTTTTCTGTACCGCCACTATAACTTGTTTCTTTTAACTGTGTAGGATGGCAATGAATTTAAGCACATATTTATAATTATTACAGGTTCTCCTTATCCAACACAACCAGGAGCTTATGGTCAATATGGTTCAAGCGATCAGTATAACTCCGCTGGCCCGCCTGGTCAACCTTTTGGACCAAATCAGGGCCAATATCCACCCCAGAATCGCAACATGTACCCTCCCTATGGACCCGAAGGGGAAGCGTGAGTGAACAATTCATATACATGCATCTTCATTACACTCAGACACATACATTTTTATTCAGAAATACAACCGTACTCAGCTTAATATTATTTACCATTGCTTTAAATACATATGCCATTTTAAAATTCATTTCATTTTTTCTAATGAAATTTGCTATTTTTCTTACACAGCCCGCCAGCTGGTGCTAATCAGTATGGTCCCTATGGAAATCGACCCTACAGTCAGGCACCACCGGGCGGACCACAGCCACCAACTCAAGCCGTAACGGGTGGACCACCAGCTAGTGGAGCACCAGTAGCACCCCCAAATAGTGGCTATGTGCCAAGTACTCCTAATCAGCAGGATTACTATAGACCGCCAGATCAAGTAAAATTTTAAATTCAAGCTTGCAGAATATATTTACAAAAATAACTAAAATTTTACTTTTAAAGAGTCCCCAACCGCGCCGACATCCGGACTTCATAAAAGACTCGCAGCCTTACCCAGGCTATGCTGCGCGGCCTCAAATTTATGGTTAGCATTTCTGTGTTTTTTTATTTTACACTTTTTATTTATTTATTCTTTTTTCATAGGTGGTTGGCAAGGCAACAACCCACAGTATCGTCCCCAGTATCCCACATCGTCTGCACCACAATCGTGGGGAAATGCCCAACCTCGGAGCGCTGCTCCTCCTGGAGGTCCGCATGGTCCGCACGGACAGCAGCAAACGGGTGTATCTCAGTGGGAACAGCATCGTTACCCACCTCAACAGCCTCCACCACCTCCGCAGCAGCAGCAACAACAGTCTTATCAGCAGAGTACTCCGCCTGGACAACAACAACAGCAAACGGCGCCACAATGGGCGCAAATAAATGCGGTTCAAGCGCCACCACAAGCAAGTATTTCGCAACCGGGGTCATCATTGCGTCCTCCAGTTGGAGTTGCACAACAACAACGTATGCCCAGTGGAGTGCCTGTAATGACGCCACAACAACAGCAGGGGCAAACAGTACCTCAACCACCACATGGAGGCGTACCAACATCAAGTATGCCGCCGGTGACAGGGGGCATGGTAAAGCCGCCTTTTGCTATGCCACCCCCATCACAGTCTGGAGGCGCCTTACCGGGCGTGCCAATAGTTGGTAGCGCACCAGCCACTATGGTTGCACAAAAGCAATCACCAATAGTTGGACAGGGAATGCAGCCTACGCAACAGCAGCCGGCACATCAGTTGTCCAATCAGCAAGCTGCCTATTCCCCACAAGTAACTGGCGTAGGTGCACAGTTGGTGAAAAAGGAGTTAATCTTCCCTCACGATAGTGTAGAGTCAACTACGCCGGTGCTTTATCGCCGAAAACGCCTGACGAAGGTTGACGTGTGCCCTGTCGATCCATGGCGAATTTTTATGGCCATGCGTTCGGGTCTACTTACTGAGTGTACATGGGCGTTAGATGTCCTTAATGTTCTTTTGTTTGACGATTCCACAGTACAATTCTTTGGCATATCAAATTTGCCCGGTCTGTTAACCCTGCTGCTGGAACACTTTCAAAAGAATCTCGCCGAAATGTTTGATGAACGTTGTGAAGAGGCGACAGACGAGGCAGATGATGATGCTGACAGTGGTACTGTTGTATCATTGAAGATTGAAGATAAGCTGCAACGACGACAAAGCCGATGTGTGCACAGCATCTCCAGCTATAACCGTAGAAGGCACTACGAAAACATGGATGTAAAGCGTGTTGGCCGCAGTGAAGACTCCGATGATGCTGACGAGGGCATCGACTTGGGTCAGGTACGTGTTCAGCCTAATCCTGAAGAGCGGTCGCTTCTCCTTTCGTTTACACCTAATTACACTCTGGTCACGCGAAAGGGTGTACCTGTCCGCATTCAAACGGCAGATCATGATATCTTTGTTGACGAGCGTCAAAAAGCTTGGGATATTGACACTAATAAGGTTTATGAGCAGCTCGAACCAGTAGGCAGTAATGCTTGGACTTATGGCTTCACGGAACCCGACCCACTTGATGGCATTATCGACGTGTTTAAGTCAGAGATTGTTAACATTCCATTTGCTCGATTCGTACGCTCTAAATATAAGAGCAAGCAGGATGTCGCACAGAAAAGTGGCAAAATCATGCGACCAGACAACATTTCATCTGTTCTTAAACAGGAGGACACTACAAGTAGTACCGAAGATAGCAGTCTTCTTCAACAGACTTATAATAAGAAAAGGAGGCTTGTGGGCAGTATTTGCACAGCCAGTAGTGACAACAAGAAGTCCAAATCAGAAGAAGAGTTTGCACAACCAACTGTCGACGCTAAGAAAGAGATGAACATCGAAATTGTGGGAGCCAGTTTAACAGACAGTGATTGCCGAGCCATTGATATGGAAATCGAGTCACCGCGGCAGCTACGACTTACAAATGGAGTCACCTCGCTACCAAAGGGATTCGACCCGAAGTCAACAGTCCGCGATGATGCGCAAGTTTTAAAACGACGCCGCGACTCTAGCTACGAAGATGAATGCTATACGCGGGACGAAGCCTCTTTGTACTTAGTAAATGACAGTCAGGACTCATTAGCACGTCGCTGTATTGCTCTTTCAAATATCTTTCGAAATTTGACTTTTGTACCCGGGAATGAAACAGTGCTGGCTAAGTCAACGAGATTTTTAGCAGTGCTCGGCCGCTTACTCTTGCTGAACCACGACCACTTGCGGCGGACCCCTAAAACTCGCAACTACGATCGAGAAGAGGATACAGACTTCACCGATTCTTGCAGCTCACTTCAGGGTGAGCGCGAATGGTGGTGGGAATATTTAATAACCATACGAGAAAATATGCTCGTAGCCATGGCTAATATAGCTGGGCATTTGGAACTTTCTCGTTATGATGAGTTAATTGCACGCCCGCTTATTGACGGATTACTACACTGGGCGGTGTGTCCCAGTGCGCATGGCCAAGACCCATTTCCATCTTGTGGCCCGAACTCTGCGCTCTCACCGCAACGCCTTGCCCTAGAAGCGCTATGTAAGTTATGTGTAACAGATGCGAATGTTGACTTGGTTATCGCGACCCCTCCATTTTCACGATTGGAGAAACTATGCGCGGTTCTGACGCGTCATTTGTGCAAGAACGAGGATCAAGTGTTGCGCGAGTTTTCTGTAAACTTGCTGCACTATCTGGCTGCAGCAGATAGTGCCATGGCTCGCACCGTAGCACTACAGTCGCCTTGCATCTCTTATCTTGTTGCATTTATTGAACAAGCTGAACAAACCGCCTTGGGTGTCGCAAATCAGCATGGCATCAACTATCTGCGAGAAAATCCCGACTCAATGGGTACAAGCTTAGATATGTTACGACGAGCAGCAGGCACGTTGCTACATTTGGCCAAGCATCCGGATAATCGATCACTGTTTATGCAGCAGGAGCAGCGGTTGCTTGGGTTGGTAATGTCACATATTTTGGATCAACAGGTAGCACTGATTATATCGCGAGTGCTTTACCAGGTATCTCGCGGGACCGGACCATTACATTCAGTTGAGTACAGATTGTTGCAGCAACGTCAACAGCAACAACGGCCCATCCAGACGCCGTCTGAAAAGCTAACTGCGCAAATAGCGACCAATAATGTAAAACAAGAGCCCTCCTTGCAGCCAGATGTGTCTGCAGATGCTAAGCCTTCAACTGCTGTTGTCATGACAGCTGTGATCAACGATGATAACAGCAATAGCAGTCAACAATTGCCACCAGCGGCAACATTTAATGATGTCAGTAACAGTAGTACCAACAGTAATAGCTGCGGCACCGTCAGCAGCAATCAGACCAATAGCAGTAGCTTGGGTAGCAGTAGTCAGCCTACTCTAAACAACTTGGTGACACCTAGCGAACAACAAGTGGGTAAATCTCCTTCCGCTTCGGCTTCCGCTATGTCATCTAACAATTTAGGTCACATAAACGACTCCGCTTCATCGTCGAATTCAACTCCTCCATCAACTGTGACCCAACCGACTGCGCCGCCGTCAGCAAATACGAATACAACAGCTGCAGTTGCGTAGTATACAACAATTTTACCGGCAGCGTCTTACTATTGGCAACATGCTAGTGCTGTCGAAGGAATTTGCAAAAGAAACTAAACGTATTGAGCGAACACACACATTATACAATTATATTGCTAGAACTTGAGAATGCGATTTGTATTCCCTTAAAACTGTTTAATCAAATACTGTAAATCAACTGAATGGGATATAAAACGATGTGCGTAATGAGAAGAGAATTTTGTTTTAAAAGCATAGCCAGAAACCGTGTAAGTTTAAAGTAAAATACGGAAAACTTGGAACAGCTTCAAACACAACACCATGACCACTCAACTACTATGGTCACACAATAACTGTATATTTTTTCACTCAAATCTATAGTTAATATAAAGTCAAAAATGGTCTGGCGTTATAATAGCCCCTTTCAAATTTTAGCAATGAATTTTCAACGTCAAACTTAAGGCAGAAGGTTTAATTGCATATATATGCATGCGTAAAAGTTAAGCACACAATATACTTATGTATTAAATTTAATAAAAAATAATAATTAAAACCTAATACACACATATGCATACGCTATATATATATGTATATATATATATATATATATATATATATATATATATATATATATATATATATATATATATATATAGATATATAGATATATAGATATATATACAATAATAATAGAAACGAATTACGTGTGTTAAAATAAACATATATACACGCTAGTTTTTAAATTCTTAATTATACTACTTATGTCATATGAAGTCATAAAATGAACATACAACCTTACTACGTATGCATATGCGTATGTAACCCGATAAGAAATATGTAATACAATTAAATGGATATTAACGTGGACAAACTGATATGAAAAAAAGAACACAGACACCTTATAAAAACAAAAAAATGTACATACTTAACTATTTTGTAAATTCTATCTTGTATTTTGTTTTCGCGTTGCTATAATGCAAAGCTCATTTCGTATTATGTATGTATGTGTGAAGTATCGACGAATGATTCAAACTCATTGGATGCTCGTACAACTTGTTTTATAATCATTTTGGCAAGCTAACTGCACAAAAGCAGAAATTATAGAACGGGAGCACTTGATGTAATTTTTATGTTGTTTTTTTTTTTATTATTTACTGAAGTGCTGCTGGAACAAGGTTTAATTTTACATTAAACATAATTTAGGCGTAAATGACAAGTTTATATAATAAGTTTTTATCTTAATCTTAATTTAAAAATATTCAACCTTAATGAAACACAGTTCATAAAAACTAGAAAGGAATACAAACTAATCGATATAGAATCACGCAAAATTAACTTACATGCTTACTATTATAAAGACGTGAAACCAATAGAAAACATATATCGCAGATTTATTGAGCACCTGAAAATGGACATGTGCGAAATGTTGTAAGCGGTACTTTGATGCATAACCAATTAATGCTCAAAGTACATGGAAATATAACAAAATGGACTGATGTTTAAAAAAAAATTGAAGTCAAGTAGACTGGGCTATTAGCAAGCCCTGACATAAGAATAATGTCATGTCGATCAACAGGAACACAAGGATCAGTTGAATCCCTAAAGATATATAATTTATGTAGTTTTCCAAAACAAAAATGTGACTCAACATCTCGATATCGATATATTTACCTGTAGTTATTAGTGTATAATTTTGCTAGGATGTAAATGTATGTCCCTCAAACTTAATTTAATTATTTAATTAATATACATATATAATATACAATAAAGTGTTTTTTATATGATCGGGGATATGCACACACTTGTATACGTAAGAGCTTACATGACGTAAGTGTAATGCGTGTAGGATTTTTTCGAATTCAATATTTAAGCGCTCTTTCATGCAGACTGGCATATCGGGGTTTTCGTGGTAAATGTGGGGACTCTAATGCTTATAACCGAACACTTCAAATACGTCGTCATAGGACCTCAAAGACACTACGCTGTAAAACCATCTGCTAAACAAGAAGTTGTCCTTTCCCTCTCGGATAAGAACAGTTTTCCTACGAGAAATAACAAACAGGGACGCCAACCTATAATTTAAGTTAAGCATTCTATTTACAAATACCGATATATTCAAGACCTAAAGCTCGGTTAGGAGAAAACATTTTGCTGGAAAATGGGGAAAATTGGGTGTTAATATTACTTTTGAGTGTAAACTTAAATATTTTGTACCAACGTTTTATGATGTACAGCAAATTAAAACCAATACGTTAAACAAGCGTAAACGAATTTCTAAAAAGTGGGCACACTGAACACATCAAAATATCGATAACGTTAAATCGACAACTGCACCAGTATCCGAGTTTTTCTGCAAAAGTGGGTGTGTGCTACTTGGTTTGCTAAATAAGATTCCTCGAAGCTTCAACGGTTAAATATAAAAGGTTATTAAGCTGAAACAACACTTCATTTTTAAATCGTCTTCTGAATATGGCATATCAAGTTGAAACTCGTTTAGAGATCGAATGATTTGCTAAGCTGCATACATATTTATGTACAGAAATGTACATGACATATACAGTTTTGTGTCTTAAGATACATATGTATACACACATGCGCAAGGATATACAACTACGGAAAATTATATTATCTTGTAATTTTGTGCATATATACCTACACACGCATGTAACATAGGGTTCGTGGTTTTCGTTTAGACAGCCTATTTTATCGATTCAACAAAAGTTGTATTACCGCTAGTATTTTTGCTTCAATGTACCTCATACTTTTTATGTATACGTATATATGTGGGTTGGTAAGTCCAATAAAAACTTAACCCGTTTATTTCAAAAGCCAGCTTAAGCTATGTATTAATATTAATAGAAAGCCGATTAAATTTTCTCTAATGACTATACTCATCTCTGGTTAAATATATGTATGTACAAAAAAGTGTAGGGAATGTCGTCGCACGTTCAAGTAATTTGGTACAATTCCCATTTGCACATAAAATGCTAAGACCGCTGCTCGCCGCATTAAAGTCCATAAAGGTCACTGGCCGCTTACGTGTTTATCTGATCTGAATAATTTGCGATTATTGATGTGTGGAAATTGTTAATAGCAGCCGCAAAATTATTTAATACAATATGCTACCTTTTTCAGAACAATGTCTGCTAGCCCAAAGCCTGTGAAGAAAGTGCCCATACACTTACAAAGTGCCCAAAATCGAATATATATTAAAAACGGCGAAGTCGTAAATCATGATAAGAGTTTTAAAGCAGACGTTTACATCGAGGATGGTATCATAAAGTAAAAAATAACAAAACTCCATTAAAAACTATATAACTAATTTTATTGGACTTATTGCAGATTTGTTGGGCCTGCTTTCGAAATAACAATACCTGGAGGCGTGCGTATCATAGATGCAACGGGAAGAATGATTATACCGGGGGGCATTGACCCTCATACCCATCTTCAATGTCCTATAGAAGACAACGTTACCGTTGATGAGTAAGTTTTCATTTAACTACATTATCGTATGGTATAACATTTTTTTTATATTTAAAGTTTTTATCGGGGAACAAAAGCGGCAGTGGCTGGTGGCACTACAATGATAAGTAGGAAACTCTTCAATACCACTGTTTGGTTTAGTTACTAGTAATATTAATAATTTTTATCGGAATTAGTTGACTGTGTACTACCCAAAAAACACGAGTCAATGGTGGAGGCTTATGATAAGTGGCGTAGCTGGGCGGACCCTAAGGTATGTTGTGACTATGCTTTACACGTGGGAATTACTTGGTGGTCCAAATCGGTTTCCGAGGAGATTGGTATACTATGCAAGGAACTAGGCGTAAATTCGTTCAAAATGTACATGGCCTATAAAGGCCTCTACATGTTAAGCGATTCTGAGCTTTTGGATATTTTCGAGCGAATTAGAAGCCTAAATGGGGTGGCATTGGTAAGTTGTACCTGTAAGCATATCATATACGATGAGCTCAATTATTTACTAGGTGCATGCCGAGAATGGTGACATCATAGCGAAGAATACCAAAAATTTGTTAGCCGATGGAATATGCGGGCCCGAGGGGCATGAATTGTCACGGCAGGAGGAAGTTGAAGCAGAGGCTGTACACCGCGCTTGCATTTTAGCCCACCAGGTAAGTATTATTTAAATAAAATGTAGGAATACACATTTAGTCAAAATTGTATAAAATTAAAGCTCGTGGGAACTAAGGAAATGTTACAATAAATGTACATATATGTTGCTATAATTGTTTATTTTGTTTTTAATTTATTATTATTTTCATTATGTATGATGCACTCTTGTACATAAATAAGAATGTATGCGGTATGTGGCACTTGATAATACTCCAATAAATGTAACCCCCGATGCTGCACTTTTATAAAATATATAAATCTTGATTGCCTGCTATATGTACTCAAATTATATGCAAATTAAATGGCATCAAGGTAGCGCGGCACCAATAGCCAGTGCCCGTACTAAAATCAAACAGGGCTATAAGCTAAATCAACTTTTGTGGCCAGTAACGATACAAAGACGGCCGTGATCCTGATCAAGCTTCTGGCGAAGTAAGTAATATAGATACTGGATTGTCCCATATTATTATCGCCCAATAATTTTGTTCATATCACTTAAAATCATCAAACGTACAGCATATAAATACTAATGCCTATAAATCTTTAATAATTTTTCTTATAAAAATTCTGCTTAGATGAAGACACCTCTATACGTTGCTGGTGTAACAACCAAGTCCTCTGCCGAACTCGTAGGTCGTGCCCGTCGTAGCGGCTATTCCGTGTTCGGTGAAACGCTTGCAAGCTCTATTGGCCGCAGTATGAGCAGTGTTAGCAAATCGGAACGAGTTTATTATATTACTAGTCCACCAATTCGTATGTCGGCAGAAACGCCAAGGCAATTAATGAAATCTTTAGCATAGTAAGTATATTGTAGAAACACACATTTGTTATTAATCTTACAATCTTCCATCGTTTTTGATATGACAGCGACGATCTACAGGTCACAGGGAGTGATAACTGCACCTATAATAAGAAACAAAAAGAACTGGGTTTATTTGACTTTACTAAAATACCTAATGGTGTTAATGGTGCTGAGGATCGAATGTCGGTGGTGTGGGAGAAGGGAGTACATCAGGGCCTTCTTGATCCATGTAGATTTGTGGCTGTAACTAGCACTAATGCCGCAAAAATTTTTAATATTTACCCACAAAAAGGACGAATTGGTATGTTGAAAATGTGTAAATATTTAAATGTGGCCAAAGTCTATGTATTTGAAAAAAAAATATATATATATAATATCAACTTTTTAAATCTTTTTTATCTTAGCTGTTGGCTCGGATGCTGATATTGTTATATGGAATCCACAGGCTACACGCACCATTTCTAAAGAAACCCATCATCATGCTTGTGACATAAATATTTTCGAAGGTATGACTGTTCATGGTGTGGCTGAATATGTATTAGTGCGCGGACGAATTTGTGCCGAGAATGGATCTATTCGCGTTGCAGAAGGGTTTGGACGTTTCATACCGATGCCCCTACGGTCGCCATTTGTTTATGACATTATTGAGGGAAAAGTGCGATCATCTGAAGAGCAGCACGAGGAAAATCAAAACGGCCACTTGGCTAAAAAATTTGCGGAATTAGACATTTTAATACCAGAAGAAAAAAATATAACTGCAATGCTAGCTGGTAATATGCCATTGGCGGCAGGAGGTTCCCCATGCAGCACGCCATCTGTGCGTGGCCGTGTTGATGGCCATCGAGACATGCAAGAATCATCTTTTTCGATTAGCGGTGAGTTAGATTAACTATGTTGTTTTCATTGTTACATATCATATGCATTTTTTTTTTTAGAGGAACTAGACAAATCAAGTGTTCGTTCTTGTATTAAAGTAAAGAATCCGCCAGGCGGGAAATCATCTGGATTTTGGTAATGCAATTGGCGTCTCTCAAGGGTATAATAATCGCACAACGCGGTCTTAATCACCAAAATCGGGGTTTATATAAAATTAGATATCCAAACACCAAAAATTCCATTCATATACCCCCAAGTTAACTTTAATATAGCCGCGAAAATTGTTTATTCACATCAATTTCTAGGTTAATGAACTGACATCAATATATTGGAATATAGCTTACTTTTCGTTGAATATACTCAGTGTTTAAATTTTATGAATTTGAAGCTACGTTTAATTTTTGGTATTTCAAAATAAATTAGTAAAATATGTACACAATAATATGATTGCTACTGATTTTACGTTACTTTGTAGGTATGCACTCTTTATTTAGAAATGATGATTGACAAATTATTTAATTAAAAATTAACTCAAATTAGGCATTACAATATACAGTTATTTACGCTTGATACATAATTACATTTGTTTCTTCAACGATTTACATAAATACTCATGTTGCAAATAAAATACTCCCCTATCTGCCTTTTGACAATTTGCATTTAAAATCTAACTCTAATATAATTCAGAGGGTAATTAGGTGCCTAAGTAAATGATCCCGAATTTTCAACAGATATATTGGGTCAATATAATTGAATTAATAATTTATATAAATTGAATCGATTAAGTCATGAGGTCCAATAAAAGTTTCTTTTTTGCCCGTCTGTTTTCATCTATTTACTTACAGTTTGTTAAAGCAAAGCAGTATTACTCATAAAGTCATATAAATAAAAAAAAGTAATCAACAAAAATTTGTTTTATTTAACTTTTTGAGTTTGCGGTGCTTTCAATAAAATCAGAAAAACGAAAATTAACAGACGAGTTTTACTGCTTAATATATATTTTCACTTCTGTATTAGCTTATTCTCTAAAATCATTTGTAGTGTAACCTAAAATTGACTTAACAACTAAATTTCAGTAGCAATGACAATATTTGTATTTGCGCTTACGGGCATCGATTTATGGAGGCGTAGGAATGCTTTCGGCCGCTGAACATAATATTGTTAAGAAAACGCTATGAAGACAATTTTGCTGTCCATTTTGAGATTCAAAATAATTTTGAATATATCTCATAACACGTTCAGATACTCACCGCCCACTATCCCTACGTTTGCTTATAGCTTCTTTAAATATGCGGCACATTTGACGGCACTGCTTACTTGTCCCGTATTTAGCAGACCTAACTTCTTGTGTTTAGCGCGGAATTTCCTTACATAGGCATCAATTAAATTTTTTATTTTGTGGGGATTAATTTCACCAGAGCGACTGTGACAAATCTATAAGTTTGGATGATATATATTAAAACATGTAGTATTTGTGTGCAACAGCCACATACTTTGGGTACAGCGCGTCGCATAATATCCTTGTAATCGTCCTTCGTTATCACTTTTTTATTGAAATGTGGTTTCAATACCAGCTTCACTTCCTCAACAACACGTTCCTGGCGGTTTAGCTTACGTATAAACTACAACCGATTTATGGAAGAGTTTCAAAAACATATTGATATTGTTATTTACTTACCCTATCCTTGACTTGTAAATCCACTGCTGAATTGGGCACATCGTCATAGAGTTTCACGTGCTCGTCGACCAATTTGCTACCTAAAACCACATAATGGAAAAGTTTATGATATGAAAACATCATTGTAATTGTTAGCAAAATTTGTTTGAAAATGGCAACAAACCGCAAAATGTTTAACGCACGGAATAAATAAGTGCGAATTCCATTCTATAAATATATAGGATATAATGAACTGGACGACGTTACCCTGAGTTTGGTGTTTTTTTATTTAAGGAACATACTCAAAACATAACCTATATATTCAAAGCACAACCTACTTTCTGATGATTTATAATGTTGGTAGATGATATGTAGAATAATACATATAGTCAACGTACGTACAACTTTGAAAATTCAAAAAATTAGCGGAATGAGATATAAAACAAAACGGACATAATGCCTTAATTCTCTTGTCAATAAACCAGAGTAAACCAGGATCCTTTGCAGGAAAGATACACTGATTTCAAATAATTATTAATATTTCCTTTGCGGCCCCAACAGCCTACATAGTAAGGTTAAAGTTACTGCAAATACAAGTATTATCAATTGAAACCCACCTTTGACTTTCGTTTTGCGTTCGGATTTGTTATTTGCACGTTGCTGTTTCCTTCCAGTTAAGGCATTGTACCGCGATGGCATCCTTTGTTGAGCCACAGGGGAACTGCTTCCAAAGAGATTGTCAAACATCTCTGCTTTACCTCCTGCAGCAGGCACCCCGCTGCTTTTTGAACGTCTAATTGAACCAATTGCGTTACCGCCATCTGGCGGGGGCTCAAACAAATCCTCGTAGTCTGCCGAACCAGGAGAATATGGGCTTTCAATTTCCATATTGAAAGAGTCGTCCAGCACAGTGGCCATACTACTAACACCGGTGTTGCCGTTACGCATTGCTCCACTACCCGAGGGCAGATTCACTATACCACTACTGCTGCTGGCCACACTACCGCCAGTCTTGGGCATGGTACCCAACTTTCTTACTAGTGTAGTCGGCGGACTAGATATAACGGGTATGTGTTGTGGCGCGGACACAACACTACTACTTGTTAGTAGGACGTTCGACAAAACCGTAATTGTATTATCAGCAAGATTATCCTCAGCACCAGGCACGGCCAACGATGTGCTCATTGTAGTGCTGTTGAGATACGATGCTGACGAGACTTCGCAGGATTTATTGGCCAGGTCTTGTTGAATGGTGTTACTGGGCTTACTCATGAGTGCCATGACCAGCTCTACTGGATTAATGCTCACACTCGTATTTACTTGGGTCGTTGTGTTGCTAGTGCTTGACAAGGTCGGTGTACCTGTGTTAACGTCGACCAGATCGTCGCTGTGGCTGTTGTGTTTTAGGGTGCACGTAAGTGCATCAATTTTTTCCACACCACCGCAAGCACTACCGCTAACGCCAGTGGAAGTCTGCAAGGTCATTGGTTCTAGATTCTGAGCAGGAGTTGGTGTTGGGGAACGCGGGGATAAAGAGGGTGATTTTGTCGGCTCAAAAGGATCATAAGCATCCGGGGAACAAGGTCCCGATTCCGGTGGTGTGTTTGGTCCTATCTTTTGCGCTGAAGTGAGCCCGTCATTAGCATGTGGCTGTTGCGGCTCTCCGTCAATAGCACCCCGCAGAGAGCATACTGTTTCTAGTTCGTCTGCAGAGTGTATATCGTCGGCATCATCGTGCAGCGGATTATTACGCACTTTGTGTTGTTTTTTGGCGGGTAAGTTGAACTTCACAAGATGTGGCTCCGGTGGCGTTTTAGGACCGGTAGTTTGTGTGAGATTTTCATATGAAGCCTCCAAAATCGTTTCCAAACAATTGGTCGGTGGCGTTTTTTCGCGTTGTCCATTCTCTCTCATCATCACATGATCCGTAGCGGATGCGACGCTGTTACGTCGCCTTTCGCGTCTCATCAAGAGCTGATTATCATTTGCATCTTCGCTATCGGTCAGCACAATAACATCAGCCGGCTCTTGGTGCACTTGAAATGGCGAACGTTCCAGATCAATAATCGCTACAGGCTTTGCATCTAGCTTTTTTCGCTTGCGTTTAGCCTTCTTACTTGCTACCCCGCTACTGTTAGTTAGCCGGTCTGTGGAGGTGCGCCGCCCTCCAAGGAACTCATCCCTAGTCGGTGGCAATGTTACTACAGTCTGCTGTTGTCCCGACCCTACTAGTGCATTGTTTACCTCCTTGTTGAAACTAACGCTGACAAGAATATTGTTGCCCGATGCAAATACCTCCTTTGAAGGCAACGGTTCAGGCGTCATAGTGTGGCGCTTACGCTTTTTGTCCTTGCGCTGCTTGTCTAACGGCTTTTTCTTCTTCTTGCTTTTGTCTCGCTTGGGTTTCACTTTTTTCCCTACTACTGGCGTTAGGCTGCGATGAGTATTTTCAGTATAGTGCGTAACGGGCGCTTGAGGAGACGTCAGGGGCGGCGTCCACGACGCAGGCTTTTCGTCACTAGTTCCAGCTCCACTCTCGTGAATAAAATGTGAATGTGAATGTTCCGCAGAAAGACTGGGCGTGGGGGACGGTGACCAATGCATGGCTCCTATGCTCGCTGATGATTTTTTGGACTTTTTACCCAACTGAGGTGCGAGGAAATCATCAGCATCATCAAAAGGGTCACGTTGCCGCGAAATACGTCGCTGCCGAGCCACCGGACTGTTACTAGAAGGACGCTTCTTGCCTTTCTTCTTCTTATCACTCTTCTTTTTCTTCTTTTTTCGTGGACTTTTTGAAGCACTACGACTTAGCCGTGGTGTATACCGTGGTGAATAGCCAGGCGAATTCTTTGCTCCCTGCATGTTGCGGCTGCCATTCATTCGCGCGGGCGTATTTGATCGTGATCGTACAGATATTGTGCTGTTACTTCGCTGCAGCGGGCTGTTACGATGTGCTGGTTGAAGTGGTTGAGAATTCGACGGTGAATGTTCGAATCGTCTATTACCCGATGACACTGATCTGCGACGTATTCCTTGTTCATGCTGATGCCTGGCAACACCTGGTGGCGGAGTTGGCGAAATGCTAAAACTGCGGAAGCGTTTCGGGGAGGTTGAACGTGTACGCGTGCGCCTGGAGCTACCTGAATAGCTACGGGAACGTTGTCGCCGTTCATAACTAACAGATCGACTCCTAGCAGACCGAGCTGCGTCCCGGCCATAACGATCCTTTTGGTGATGACGCGACGTGCTAACGACGTTGCGGACATCGTAGCGTGGCAGTTCGCGTCGCTTTTGTCGCTGAAAATGTGGCTGCATATGGTATTGATTTTGAGACTGATACTGCTGATGATGTTGGTGGTACTGGTGAGGGTATTGGTGTTGATTATGGGTTTGCTGGTAGTGTCTATGCTGGAATTGCTGGTTGCGAAAATTGAACCGTAACCCACCACGGCCTCGACCAAATCCTCGAACACATTCGCGACCCCTGAAAGTAGC